AATATCCAACCAAGCTGTCATTAGAATGATAAAAATATAACTTATACTCAATAGAAAATTTCAAGTATTTCAATACTCTTAAAAGATGCTTGAAATGTTCATCAGTGGCACAGTCTTGAAATTGTCCAAAATAACTGACACCAAAACAAATATCTGGTCTTGTACCCATCATTATGTACATAAGACTACCTAATAATTCTTTATATGGCAATTTTGTTTTGATATCTTCATTAGTATTTCTTTTTAAACTTAAATTTTTTTCAACAGGAGTTTTATAATTCTTACAATTTTCTACATTAAATTTTTTGATTAAATTTTTAATTGCTGAAATTTGATCCATGCTAATAACTTTGTTTTTCAAATCTCTACATATCTTTATTCCTAAAAAATCAAACTGATCATTTATCATTTTTTTAATTTTGAAAGTTTCACACAATTTTAATTTTAAATAATTCAAAAAAATTTGATTATCACATGCAATCAAAATGTCATCAACATACAGAAGCAAGTAGCATCTTACATTTTGATCAATAAAAGTATATAAACAATAATCAGATCTTGAACGTTCAAATTGTAAATTTGTCATGAAATCATTAAACTTTTCGTTCCAAGCTTTAGGGGCCTGTTTTAAACCATATATAGCTCTTTTCAGTAAACATACTTTACCTCTGTCTTTTTCTGAAACTTTAAGACCTTCTGGGATTTTCATGAAAACTTTTTCCTTTAAATTACTGTGTAAAAAAGCATTTTTTACATCTAACTGTTCCAAAACTAAATCATAGTTGTTACAAATTGATAATAAAATTCTTAATGTTGAAAGTCTTGCAACTGGAGCATGTATTTGTCCATAATCACCAAAATCATGTTGTTCGAAACCTCGAGCAACTAATCGAGCTTTATACATACACTTACCTTCATCATCTTCCTTGACTCTAAAGACCCATCTATTACTTATTACTTCTTCTTTTTCTGGATTATCCACCAACTGCCAAGTTTCATTGTCCTGTAATGCAGTTAATTCATCTTCAATGGCCTTTTCCCAATAATTGCTTTTTGAACTTTCTTTTGCTTGCAAATATGATTGTGGTGCATCTGTAAATTCACTTAGTAAAGCTAAACAGCTTATATCTAAGTCATAATCTTTAAATCGTATCGGTATTTTTGTTTGTCGTCTTGATCTTGTGTTTTCCTGTTCTCTCATAATTTCTGTTTCTATTCCTTCATTATTTACACTATTTTCTTCTTGATTCTCATTTTCCTCTATTTTTTCACTATTTTCATTTTCATCTTCATCATCACTATCATCACTGTCATTTGGCTTATTTAAATCATAATTTCTCATTTCAGATCTTTCAGTACTATTTTCAAAAGTGTTCTCATCAAATACAACATTCCTACAATGAATTGATTTGTATTCTTCTGCATTCCATAATCTGTATCCGTTTTCTGTATATCCAATAAATCTACATTTTAAACCTTTATCGTCCAATTTCTTTCTCAGAGAATCAGGCACTCGCGCATAGGCAATGCACCCAAAAACTTTCATATTCGACACGTTCGGCTTTTTTCTAGTCCACAATTCATAGGGAGTTTTTCCTCTTACAATACATGATTGAGTTCGATTTGTAATATAGGCAGCTACAAGGACAGCATCTTCCCAAAATATCTTTTCCATTTTTGCTTGCATAATCATTGATCTGGCTTTGTCCATTAATGTCTGGTTCATCCTCTCCGCAACACCATTAAGTTGGGGAGTATATGGAGGAGTATAACTTACCTGAATCCCCTTTTTGGAACAAAAATTTAATAAATCTCCTGAACAATATTCCCCTCCATTATCGCATTTAATTTTTGAAATTCTCTTATTACAAAATAAAGATGCCACCTTAGCTTCATAATCTTTAAAACAATTAAAAACCTCGTTTTTATGTTTAATAATATATACCATTACAAATCTGGAATAATCATCCACAAACGTTACAAAATAGGAATTATCATTACGTGATGTAGGTGTGATTGGACCACATACATCTGTATGCACCAATTCAAGAACCCTATTTGACCTTGATGTCTTAGAATAGTATGGAAAACATTTTTGTTTGCTCTTAATACAAATTTCACAGATTTTTTCAGTATCCGAATTTGCAAATTGCAGACCATTTACTAAATTTAAATTTCTAATTTTCAACAAAGAATTATAATTTAAATGTCCATATCTTTGATGCCAAAGTTCCTTATCTTTATCTTTTGCTGCTAAATTTGCATATTCATCAGAAAAATGCTGAAAATGTATTCTGTACAGATTATTATAACGATTACCTATAGCAAAAATCGAATTATTCTTTTTAATAATAATCTTGCCATTAACACATACAATTTCGAAACCTGCTTTTTCAATTGTTGATATAGATAATAAATTTATTCTTAAACCAGGTACACACAAAATATTTTTAATAACAATTGAAATTTGATTACCTTCGACTTCACTTATTGCTTCTAAGTCTCCCACACAAGTTGCTTTCATAAATTTCCCTTCTTCGGCCAATTGGATCAATCTTGGTTCATTGAATCTTCTTTTATTAATTAACATCTTTTCATCATTAATATAATGGTGAGTAGCTCCTGAATCTGCATACCATACTGTTCCACTAGAATCTGACAAATTATTTGAAGTTGCACAGAAAGCAACAGCTTCTTCGGTTGATTTTCCATCATTGTTGCTATCTTCACTAGATCCGCCAGCATAATGAGCTACTTTATTAGTATTTTTGTTTCGATTTTTATTTTGAAAACATTGATTTGCTTTGTGTCCCAATTTTTGACAAAAATTACACTTTATTCCACAAACGCTCTGCACATGTCCCAATTTTCCACATTTAAAACATTTTCTCTGATCTTGAGACTGATTTTGTGCACTGAATGATGAGGACACAACATGCTCATTTCCATATTTTTTAAAGGTTGATTTATCTCCATTTTTATTCATGCTGAATTCCAGCAGCTTACTTTTAACAAATTCAACTGTCAAATCAGTTTCTTTAAGAGTTCTGATAGCAGTAACAACATTTTCATAATCCTGAGGCATTGATAATAATAAGAAACATGAAATATCTGATTCTTCAAAGGTACTTCCTAGACTTTTAAGTTCACGAAAGATACGGTCACATTTAGCAAGATGTGCTTGCAAATTTGTATTACACTGATACTTCAAATTTATTAATTCTCTCAACAAATAAAATTTTGAGCACGTACCTTTCTTACTAAATGTTGCTTCCAGCTTTGCGATCATGTCAATTGCGACATCTGTTTCTTTAACATACTCTAAGTGAGTGTCAGCTACACTTTGGATTATTATCATACAAGCCTTATTGTTTTTCTTGTGCCAATCGTCATCTCTGGAGGTTGAAACAACTGGTTTCAATACATCACTCAAATCCATTGCTTTCAGTACGGCATAAAGCCTAAATTTCCAATTATCAAAACCATTTCCATTGAATGGAATTATTCCATGTTTATTTTCAACTGCTTGACTAGCCATTTTGTTCTACGTTTTTTCAACAGCCAAAACCAGAAACTAACAACTTAGCTTTACACTGAGTTTTACCTTAAAGCCTTAACACATCTTCTTTCCTGGGCCCATAACCATTGTTAGGTTCTAATTAGGAAGCGATAAGAAGAATGTGTTCTAATTTATATTTCCATTCATCAATAAAACATGAGGCATAGAACAAAGAACTTTTTATTAATTAATTTTTTAATGTTACAGCATGACTTGCAACTTTTCAACTATATCACAGCTGACTACTACTACAGTGGCTAAATAAACCTTTACATACAGTGGCGACAATAGAGTTCCCGCCGCCATCTTGTTCCCAACCTCTTGTTACTTTCAAATATTAATATATAAGATTTAAATAGACATCTATCATAAAAAATTAAAATCGGCATATTTGATGACCATTATCAGGTTCATCAAATACGTTGTTTTCCATGTTTTATGATGGATGTTCACCTAAATCCTATATATTCATATTTAAAAGTAACAAGAGGTTGGGAACAAGATGGCGGCATTTTCAATATAAACATATGGGATTTTTGAACCAATCAAAAATGAGACCGCAATTGTCGCCACTGTGGTAATAAAGTCACTGTAACTACTACTAACTTGACATAGTTGACATAACAAAAACGATGTTTCTACACAGTGTTGCCAAGTCAACATTTTATAGGTTTGCTCGACTTACTCCGAACTACTCCAAACTAATCTTATATTTAACAAATTTTTCCTAAAGACGTCCCTAGATGTCCATAAACGACATACAAGACGTCTTGCCTGCTGCGTCTTTAAGGCGTCTCAAAGACATATATCTTGTCTTGAAGACGTAAATGTAACAAAACTCAACGTTTTCCAGAGATCTGCCTCCTAAAGATGTCTTTAGCTCTAAGACATTCTAAAGACATCTTCAACAAAATGTCTCAAAGACGTTTTTGAATCTCTTTTCAATACATAAATCATTATTCACTTTTAGGCTTGGTTATACCAAATAGTTGTCTCTAAGATATGAATTTACAACATTTTCAAAATAACGTTTTCTAGGCGTCTTTTTTAGGTCTTCAGACGTTCGGGACGTAATGCAGACCCTAGAAAAGACGTCTTCAAAACTGTGTGCGCTGTCTGGGTGGATGTTCGGTTGAGTGGACTCTATCTGAGTTGGGAATCTCACAGCCACAGCTACCGAAAAGTGTTGCCGATAGTGAGCGTAATTCGGGTGGTGTGGTGCGTCTCAGGGCGCAAGGTTGCCAAAATTAGATATTTGATTTCAGAGTGAATTTCGGGCCCCATTGAGCGTCCGGGCCCTAAGCACTGCCCTGGGCGGCCGCCTAGTGTGCCTAGTGGTAAAACCGGCGCTGATCATAACAATCATGAATAAATTTCATAATGAATTCTTCAAAAATGCAAGGTAAATCCGAGTATTTCTACTGGATAATTTCTAAGTTACCTGGTAGGTAAGGTCAGGTCCGCAGATCGTTCAATTCGATAAGCGGTTTGCAAAGAACTGGATCCAGTCACTCTACTTATTCCCGAATACTGCGTTTCCAGTAAATCCAGTCGAAATTGTCGTATGAAATCGTACGCTTGCAAATCGTCGTCTCCTATTCGATAATCAGCGCATGGACCACTAACATCTTGTTCTACAATTTTTAATTCTATAAAACGAAAAAAAAAAAAACTTGACGCTTAAAATTTTCGTAAAAAGAATTGGTATACACTTACGAGCATTTATTTCTATCAAAAATGTATAGGCAAGAGCAAGGTGTAAGTGAATCCATCTACAAAAACAAATACATTCATCAATTAATATGATGGCAGGCATTATAATCTATAATTCCTAAAACCGTTTTAATTAAGATCAAATTAATTTGCATTCAACGAATAAATTGTTAATAGAAAATACAGATGTCAAGGCATAAATTATGTCATTTAGTTATAAAAAAATGATTTGAACAAATTAAAATTTTTAGAGTTTTTCTAATTTTTTTTTTTCAAAAATATGCAAAATGAAATAAATTGAAATTAATGTAAAACAAAATTAATTAGATGATTTTTTAATAAATTTTACTTACCGTCTATGAAAAACTAACATTCTTAATTAATTTACTAATTAAATCTATAACATAATCCACGATTGTTAAAATTGCTTAAAAAATTATCACCAAAGCCAAATTGAAACTTTAATGAGACTGTCCAGAGAGTTACAAGCGTACTAAACACATCCAGAGATTATTCGAGATTGGCTGGTCATCTGAATCACTAACCATTAGAATTTAGGCTGAATTTAACTTGCAAATAAATTAGGATTCTTTAATGGGACACATTTTTTTGTCATTCAGTGGCGGCTCGTGGTGTCTAAGTAAGGGTGAGCGACAAAAATAAAAAACACCCGAGGTCGTAATTTTTTAAGATTTTCAACGTCACGGCCTTTTCAAATGTTGTATTAAAAATATTTTTTCTTTTTAAAGTTTTTCTCCAGGGTGGCGGTGCCCACCTTGCCCATATGGGCGAACCGCCACTGTTGTCATTAAGTATCGTGATTTAATTGGGACAAGATTTGATCTTGGAGCCATATATATGAGTGGATTATATTTGTTTTACATTTTCATGCATTGGAATTTAGATTTTTATAAATGTTATGTAAGCGGATTTGTAGATATGTATACAGGGTGTCAATTTGAAAACTTCCCACCCCTATTATCTGGGAATAGAAAAAATTTGGAAAAAATCCCTGAAACCCGTCGACTATAATTTAAAGGGGGATGAGTTTTTATGCAAAATTCACCTTCCCTTTTTCAACCCCCCAGCCCCCAGAGCCACCCCCTAGAAAATTTTAAATGAGAATGGGGGTCAAGGGATACATCATTTTGGAGGCTTTTTAATTCCATACATTTTAGTACAAAATTCTAATCCCTAAGTTCAACTGCTTTGGAAATATTGACAGTTGAAAATTGACTTTTTTTTTAACTTTAATAGGCTGTAAAACCTAAACAGTTAATTTTAGAGGAAAATCGATCTTACATTCTTATCTTAGATATTTATAAACTATCATTTGGCAGCAACTTCGAATTTAATCCATGATCAAAAATTCCGGTTAAAAATTTAATCTCCGGTTAAATTCAAAAATGGTGTCAAATGATGGTTCATGAAAATCTAAGGCAAGAATGTAAAATCGGTTTTCCTCTAAAATTAACCGTTTAGGTTTCACAGCCTGTCAAAGCAGCAAAAAAGTCAATTTTCAACTGTCAATATTTCCAAAACAGTAGAACTTAGGGACTACAATTTGATACCAAAATGTATGGAATTGACAACCCTGCAAAATGATGTATCACTTGACCCCCCTTCCCACTTAAAATTTTCTAGGGGGTAGCTCTGGGGGCTGAGGGGTTGAAAGAGGGAGGGATGTGAATTTTGCATAAAAACTCATCCCCTTTCAAATTATAGTTGGCGTGTTTCAGGGATTTTTTCGAAAATTTTTCTACTCCGAGATAATAGGGGTGGGAAGTTTTTAAATTGACACCTTGTATGTGAGACTAGTCTTTAGTTAAGTAAATAACACAAACGAAACTGCCACTTCGCTAAATAGAAAGAAAACCAAATCACAACTGAAATTTGAAAAAGCCAATGGCGTCCGCCAGGGGAGGCGCAGTTTTAAAATTATCAACAATGATTTTTGATACATTTATTTCGATTTTATACTTGTAGGCTAAAGAAAGTACAGGGTGGTCCAAGCTGGACACTTTTGATAGGAAACGTCGTCTATTTCTGAGCGAGATACAAAAAAAATGAGCCCCATGCGCTGATACACCAGGCAAATCTTAATTTTTGAGTGAAGTGTTTCCGAACAGTTATTTCAAAGCGGTAATCCATAGCTCTTTTAGTGTAGAATGAAAATCCAAAAGTCCCAAAAAATCTCATGTGAGCTAAAATCGCCATTTTGAAAAACATGGCCGCCAGCGCGTTTTCTCTTTGAACGGTGATATTTCACTTTATCGTTAGTCTGAAATTCAATATCTTTTTTTCATGTCATAGCGTGTACAATTTAAAAAAAATGTTTATGACGAAAAAATAACAAATGACATACGGAAAAGAAATAAAAAGTTAAATATGGGTAAATTTTGGCCTCTCGAACGGGTTATAAGGCGTTTTTGGATCAAGTTCATTTTTGGTACACATATATAGGATGTCAAAAGAAATTTTTTCAAAAAAAAATTGACCTTGACTGTGACCTTGATCGTGACCTTGACCAATAAAGTTCACGTACATGGCAGTTTATGATGCTGAAAACTTGTATAGTGTTATAGTGCATCTCAAATAACCTTATATACCGAGTTTTAGCCTTCAAAGTCATACACATCCAGATATACGGCAACCCCGCATTCTCGGCTAGGGCTCTCGGGAACGGGGTAGAAGGCGTAGTCCGATTGAGTTTATTTTGGGAAAATATGTAAAGGCCGCTGAAAGAAATTTTTCCAGAAAAAATTGACCTTAGCCGTGACTTTTACCGTGACCTTGACCAGTGAAATTCACGTAAATATTAATTTATCGTGCTGAAACTATGGCTGTGTTCTTTTTTTAACTGGCAGTACTGAATTTCCACTGTGCTGTTTTTACTGTATTTGTCGTTTCTTTTTCAACCAGCAGCTGTATTACTGGTTGATTTTGGAACGAACTCCAGTAATTATTGACATTTGACCGGCGACAAAGCTGACCTAACCTAACAACATGATTATTTTATATTTTTTGTTTTTCTTTTTCAAGCTTTCTCCATAAATAATTTAATAGTTGATTATTATTACTGTAGATTATTATAGTAATACAATGCTTTTATTAACGTAGTTGCCCTGGCCTCTGAAGGTCACTGGAATAATTACTAATTACATATAAAATCTAATTTAGTCCAAAGATACCTTTTGTTTTGTTATTATTATAAACAAACCTTCCAAGTTTAAAGAAAATCTGGAAAGGGATTTTTGAGCTTATAGGGCAATCCAAACAAAATGGCGCTCAATGCATGGTCAATGCCAAAAAATTGGCGCCATAAACTTAATTCAAACAACCGTGACATTATTCACCAAAAAACTGTTTTTTGTGTATTTTGTGGTGTTTTTAGATGATTTTCTAGTGTTTGGGAGGATAATATTTTTCGTATTTTAAGATGGAAAGTTTTTAGTTTAAGAAATTATTAGTGGAAAACCCGGATGTTTGCAAAACTTATGATTTCTTTGTAACAAACCTTTACCTGCTAAATAATTAGGTAGGTACTATTCAGGATTTGTTTCCTGTTTAGTTTTTTCTTAACCAAATCCTGAATCCTGATGTTTATTTTATTTGCCTACTATTAGGCAATAATTCAAATCACGCACGTGACATTCAAGATGGCGTGGCGGCCACACATGGGCCAAAAAACACAAAAAAAATATCTAGTTTCTGCCCGAATTAATAGCTTAGGTACCTAGTCAAAAAATAGTTTATTAAATAATGAAAATCAAAGTTGTAAGCAAAACTGTACGCAAAATAATTTAAAATACGCATAAAACATATTCAAAACAAACTTGCTTGGCCGCCACGTCACATTGAATTTTCCTTTTTGACAGATGGATTGAATTGCCTAATTTTTTTAATATGGATTTCGTAAGATTTTTTTCTCTTTCGCTACAATCCATGAAGCTCTCACAAAGTACAGACAAATTATCATTTCTCTCCGTTAAAAACCTGTGTTTTGTCTTTGCAGGAACGGCATGAAACTAGACTTTTTTGCGATTAGAACGGCCCCACAACTAAGTACAATACATAACGTATGCATTTTCCAAAAAATCAACACTTTACAGACTTTATACAAATCAAAAATCGCAATAAAATGGCATTTTTTTTTTTAAATAAAAAGGCATTGGCCTCCATTTTGAATTTCATTTTGACAGGTTGTTGGATTGCCCTATAAACCTCAGTGAAAAAAATTTTTTTTTCAAACTTTTAACAGCCTTTATTTCAAAAACTAAGCCTATGCGTACCCATAGCCGCTTTCGGGTACAGGGGTGCTTTATTTAAAAGATGCATCTTTGCGTACACGCCAATGACGTCATTCGTAATTGAAAATTGGTGCACAGCTTATTTGGCAAAACTGACGTCATTCGCGTCATATTTGCGCGTACGCAAAGTTGCATCAATTTCAAATAAAGCCCCCCAGAGTGCTTAGATAACAGAGTGCGAAGCGAAGCTCTGAACACTCCCGTTACTCCATGTGTTTTGCGAATGCGTCAAACTGTAGTCGGAGTAGGTACTTCGGAGTAACTCGGAGAGCTCAAAGGGTGGCACCCGAAAGCAGCTGATGTTTCTAATTATTAATTAATTTTTAATTTATTTTAATGAGTACTATTTCTCCTAGAAGTTTGATCCCATTATCCAGAAATATCCAGTATAGCTCAATCAATTTAAATTAATAGTTACCTACTGAATGTAGCTTAACAAGCAATATGGAATAAATCACAAGATAAAACTGATATAACTTAAGGGATATTTTAGTCTAGAGCTTCTAATGTGACTCTTGTAGAAATAAACAAAAGTTATAGCTGTGCAAATAGCCAAAAAAGTGATATTTGCCTTCTTTGCTATATCAAATAATAGAATTATTATTTAACTGTCTACTTTTATGGCTCTATTAATTTAAATTAAGTTTAAGTAAGTTGCCTACTCTACTAGCATGTTAAATATAAGATTAGTTTGGAGTAGTTCGGAGTAAGTCGAGCAAACCTATAAAATGTTGACTTGGCAACACTGTGTAGAAACATCGTTTTTGTTATGTCAACTATGTCAAGTTAGTAGTAGTCAGCTGTGATATAGTTGAAAAGTTGCAAGTCATGCTGTAACATTAAAAAATTAATTAATAAAAAGTTCTTTGTTCTATGCCTCATGTTTTATTGATGAATGGAAATATAAATTAGAGCACATTCTTCTTATCGCTTCCTAATTAGAACCTAACATAGCACTCTTTGACTCTACTATCAAAGCAGTATGAAATAAAACATAAGATAAAGTGATAGCTATTTGTTTTGTTGTTATAATATCAATATTTATTAAAAGAAATAAACCAACTAATGTGAAATCGAATAACATTTAAATTAATATTGAAAATAACAAATAACACCTAATAAATTATAATGTTTTTATCCTTGTGCAAAAAAATACAACATTCAATAATGTTAAAGTTATAATTGTTGCATAATTTCTTCTCCTGCAAACAAAACAATTGACACCCCACCACTTTTACTGGATTACAGTAGCTTCCCAGACACAGCAAGCACATTATTTGACGTATTGGTGACCTAGTACGTAATTTTTTAGTGTTCTTGAACGTATCAAAACAATCAACACCCTACCACTTTTGAATTACAGTAGCTTATTCCCGGATACAGCAAGCACAGTAATAAATTAGTGACGTATTGGTGACGCCATACGTCATTTTTTCAGTAAATCAGTACACTGCATTTTAATTTTGGAACGCTTCCCAGTAAATACAGTACTGACAGTTGAAAAAAGAACACAGCCTATGTATAGCGTCAAAGAGCATCATAAAATAACTTACACACCGAGTTTTAGCTTTCAAGGTCGTACACATCATACGGCAACCTCGCATTCTCAGTTTGGGCTCTCGGGAACGGGGCAGGAGGCGTAGTCCGATTAAGTTCCTTTTTGGTATACATATGAATCTCAAAGAGAAGATCCTCAAAAACGTAGATCCACCAGAAACGTGAAAAACCCCTTTCAAATATAAAACCTTCTTGTTTAAATTATTTCCGAGTTTTCTGGTAACTATTTCTACATTTACAATGAATGAGGCTTAGAAGTTCTGAGGGTGCTGGAGCCTGCTGCGTAGTTACTGGAAACATATGTCGTTGTTGCACACCTTCGAACCAAATTCTTCTGGTGAAAATACATTTCCCAACCAGACTCAGACTTGAATTTGGTGGTAAACCCTAAAATAAAATGGAAATAGGACCAACGGTGACTGAATTAGCACTGTTTAACGCAAAGACGTTGGCGGCCATGTTTTTCAAAATGGCGACTTTAGCTCACATGCGATTTTTTGGGACTTTTGGATTTTCATTCTACACTAAAGGATCTATCGATTTCCACTTAAAAATAACTGTTCGCAAACACTTCACTAAAAGTGCTATAATTATAGAAAGGACCCCGCACATTTCTTATGGAAAAGTGATCTATGAGGAATTTTGCTGAATTTTTGATATTGTGTATAGGGAGTCGTCCTTAACAAAAGTGATCATTGCGCTAATGTTAAATACCCAACCGTTTTCAAGATATCAATTAAAAACTTTTTTAATTTGATACCCTTCAGTATGACGTCACCAGTATGCTCACAGCACCGAAAATTAAAACTATTCTTTTCACTTTTAACTTTGACTACCTATACTTATACTCTTCTCCTTTTAACATTTAGGAAATAAAAAAAGACAACAACAGGTACAAATGAAATCGCTATTTGACAGACATAATGACATGAAGTTGACGATTGCGGCAGGAGCTTTGTTTGCATACCTACTTATTTGTCACTAATCGCTGTCGCTATCTTTTTTTTTTTCTTAATGTTAAAAGGAGAAGAGTAAAGTCAAAGTCAAAAGTGGAAAGGATAGTAATAATTTTCGTTGCTGTGAGTGACGTCATACTGAAGAGTATTATTAAAAAAGTTTTTAATTGATATCTTGAAAACTGTTGGGTATTGAACATTAGCGCAATGATCACTTTTGTTAAGGACGACTCCCTATACACAATATCAAAAATTCAGCAAAATTCCACATAGATCACTTTTCCATAAGAAATGTGCGGGGTCCTTTGCCTGGTCATTTCTAAAAATAATTGATTTTTCACACTAGTGTGCGAAATGGCTAGCTCGCACACTGGTGTCATGGTGACACATACCTGTCAAGAAACCAAAAATAATTAAAATTCACCTACCTTTGATTGAAAATGCAATTTTGGCTTCAAATGATCGATATTTAAATAGAGTTGTAGAAAAAATATTGTTTGCAACTCGTATGCGAAATGTTTTTGGTGATCGAGAACGAAAATTTTTAGACGACGCGTATAGCGGAGTCAAAAAATCGTTCGAGAAATAACATTTCGCGCACTAGATACAAAAATAACTATTTTTCAATTCGACGAATTTTTGTGAAATTTTGTGTGAATATTAGGGGGACTTTTCCTTAATTGTAGAAAAAATATCTTTACTGCTTTTGACTTGGCTCCCCCTGTATATTTTGGTTAGATTTTTTTTCTAAAATAACTAAGGAAAGGCCTCCTAATATTCACAAAAACAAAATTTCAGGAAACACCGCCGAATTAAAAATTGGGTTCCAGATAAATTTTGGCCCACATTGTATATTATTAACTCATTGGATAGCTCTGTTCGTGCTTATTCTAATGGTACAAGGTTCAATAGGTCTATCTCTAACAGTTTTGGAGAAAAAAAAAATTATACCTGCTTCAGTAGGTATCAGTATCCGATAAAACCAAACCATAAATTGAACAATGGTGTCAGCTTGGAAAATTTGTCTAACATTTTCTATTAAATTTTATTGGAAATTTTTTCTATATATACCATGTACCTATAGGTATTATGATTTTCTTCAAATGTTTTGAGTTTTAAAGTAGTTTTTCAGGCTTTCCGCCCCTCCCTTGGGTCCACCACTGGAAAAAGCTATAAAAAGGTTCCTACTAAACAAATTTTTAACTCTGAAACTAGCCCAAATCAGACACGATTTTAAGGATTTTGTAGACGAATAATTATTATATTTTATTAATGCAGTATTACATTATTATAGAATGACTAGAAATCTTCATTATAGGATTGTTCGATATTTCTTAAGATATCTTCTGAATTCTGAAAGAAAAAAAAAATCTACTTAAGTTTCTAACTTCTATTTGCTTCTAGGATATTTTTCTATGGTTTCAGAAGTCTGCACATGATGCTTATTTTATTCTTGGATACTTGGATATTTTTATAGGCAATAATAAGTAACCAGCCAAAGTCAGAACAACCCCCATTTTTGTAACACCACTTTGAATCTTCATTTCTTACGCCGAGTCCAGACCAAGCAATCTGTTCCCAAAATAGTTAATAATTGAAAAATGGCGGCGTGAAAAGCAGTTAGATACTTCAAACAAACAAGTTTCCTAAAAAAAATCAAAATTCCCACGAAAAATGTGTTAGGTACTATAATTATCATCTGCCCTTTCAATTAGTAACGGTCAGAAAACAGAAAGATAAAATTCGCATGTAATGTGAAGACTTATACAGGGTGTATCAGGTATGAGTACAAATATTTTAACATGAGATAATATGGCCCATTTCAAGCTAAAAGTGTCCTATTGACCATGGGTCAATTGTTAGTATTTTCGAAGTTATCGCAGAATTTAAATTTAGAAAAATGTAAACAACGTGACAACATTGTACAGGTATTTATCTCTGCCACGATACAAAAATGTAAATAAAACTGGTAAATTTGAATTTTTTTTTTTTGCACGGCGTTTATTTACTTCCATCTGTTTACGTTTTGGTTTGTTATTGGCTCACAAATAATGTAAATTACAATTTGCATTTTTATCACTTTTCTAGTAAAAATAAAAAAATGTGCCATTTTATTAAGTTGTGAATTGCATTGAATGACATTTTTGCACTAAACATTCAAGACAAAAATCAAATAATACTTACTCAGCTATACTTGTCAAATCCTTATTATGAAAATAATAATTTTTGTTAAAAGGTTCTCAAAACACTAAAATCAACTCGCAGATTTTGCACACTCACAACTCACACTTCTTGTATCACGCAATCTTTGTAACACGGGCACAATGTTCTTCCATCAGGTGAGTGCTTTACTTTTGGAAAATCTTTCCCTAGTTTCACTGTGAATTCTGGTGGCTGAATGAGCATTTTGCAACGATTCTGCCTAAACAAGTATCTGCATATTCGATGTTTCTTTCTAAACATTTTATTTTCAAAAAAGAATGAATTTGAATTACGCGCGTTTCCCAACTAGAAAAGACAAATCAAGAACCACCTTTTCTTTATTGTGCTGTAGTGTTGCCAGATGTTTAGATACCCTTTTACAAGTGAAATTTGTATGTTGCTTTTCCAATTTTTTGTTATTGTTGTTGACTAAAAATTCATAATTACTTAATAATTGGATAGACTAAATTTTTCTTCATCTCATAATGATTAAAATTTTCTTTAACTTTAAAATATTCGTGAAAAAATGTTAAAACTTCGAAGGCCTTTTTCTTGAAAATGGTTGAGTTTGACTTTTTTTGTTCAAAATGGGCCATATTTTCATGTGTTAAAATTTTTGTAGTCAAACCTGATACACCCTGTACAGTGAAACACATAAAAATCCCTAAAACAATGTTGATTATTATACCTTCACTAAAGATTCAAACGAACTCCAGTGAATGTTAATGCAGGCCGAAATGACATCATAAAGTAGTTCAAGTTGTGCCACAGCCATGTTTTTAGAGGTCACCAGCGAAGCGTGTCTCCATAAATCGTATATCTGTTGCATCTGGACATCTGGAAAAGCACCAATAAATATGAATAATAATAAAAAAAAAACTAATAAAATATGTTTACCGTTAGTTGTCGTAATTGAGCTACTAGAAGCGTTTACCAGATTTAAACCATCGTCGTCGTTGTAAAAACCTTTTTTAGTATTCAATTGATATTTTAGTGAACCATTATATGTTTGGTAAGCTATTCCTTGACTAAACAAATCGTGTAAATTTTTAGAAAAATGTGGCACTTGTCCATTTGAATTCTCGTTGATCGCACTAAAACTTGTTTTAGAGGAAAGTACTTTTGAACCTAACAAGGAATGTAATTATTATTATATGTTTTATTTTCAATAATATAAAACAATTTACCATTAAAATACTTGGGTTTCATTTCCTTTTTAATGTCATACAAACTAGAAATACTCTTTGCACGTTTGAGATTTTTCTTTGCCGAATTCCGCTTGGGTCGTTTTCTATTGTTCAAAGGGCTCTGAGTATCCGCTCTTCTTTTCTTCGCCTTGTTTTCAAATTTTCTACCACGTCTTCCGCCATGAGACTCTCTTTTTCCTAATCAAATTCAAGTGCCACATTAATAAATAAATTCCAATATATTTGTACCTTTATTATTAGGCTCATTATTTCTGCAATGTTGCAAAACAAATATAAAACTAGTCAAAGTCCTATCGAAAAACAAAGGTTTCAGAAACGCTTTACGTTCCTCATCGGTAGGATCTTCAATGCTCAGCATGATGCTGCTATTGTTGTAGAAGAAATTTTTAAGCTACAAATAGTTTCAATAAGTTATAATGGCCACATTATTGTTATACTTACCATGTCTGGGACTTCGCCTCTACATGTGGCTATAACCAAAACAGGCAGACCGGCATGGATATCTTCCAGCGTCGAAACTATGCTCAATTGTTCGCATTCGTTGATAATATTCCACCATTCGTCAATTCTAGATAGCAAAGTGACCGATGGATGGTGTTTATGAGCATTGGCAATAGCATCTTTCTAAAAATATGAGTTATATTGGTACTTTTGCTTTCAGAATTTCATATTGTCAATTATTGTGCGAATACATGCTTTACCTGATTTACTTTTGTAACATCATAAATAAATACTGGAAGATATTCTAGTCTTTGTAATAAGGCTGGAATTAGATGGGTATCGACGCCTTGAGTGGTATTTCCGATCAGAAGCAATCTTCCTGCATATCTTTCTTCACCAATCATATATCTGAAAATGTTACGAATACCAGGAAAGAATTTCTTTAGAGATTATTATCAGCAGGAAACAACAAAAGAATCATTGAGTGAAACTGTTTTTATTTTAAAATAATTTTAAAAAATTGGAGAGTTCGACTTTAGACGATCAATTGGGACCCCAGAAACTCCATACAGTGATTTATTGTGTGATTTTAAGCCGAAATCTTTTTAAAAAAAAGGCCTAGCTCATAGAGCCTCTTACAACAATTTTTAGCTTCCAGACAGGGCCCGCTCCAGTGGCCACGCCAGGGTTTTACGTACGGCCAGGCTGGGCCAGAAAAAATTAGGGGGGGCACTTGTTCTTACTTTATTGCTTTTCTTCTTTGAAATAAAAAATGGGAATTTCAAAGTTTACCCGTATATTTTTGCACTCATTTTGTATACAGGGTGTCCGTTTTTCGAGGACAACCATTGGAATATAGGAAACGGTAAGAGATACAAAATCGGAATCAATGGCCAAATGTGTTACTGCTTTTGGGAGATCAAGAAACTCCGAATACAATTCATAAAAATGCAAACCTCTATTTAAAAAAATAAAGTTGATGATGATCGGCAAAAGACGAAACGTCGGATTTCAAATTTGGTTACACCATTATGTAGAGGGGAGAAAGTTGCCCGAATAAAGTGAAGTTTATTTGAAATACCTTTACAAATGAGTCCAGGAAAATATAGAAATGATTTTACAAAATTTTGATTTCCATGTAGGTATCTCCGGAAGTATTCGGAATTTTCCAAATTTCGAAGTAGCGTTTTGTTGAGCAAGAAATTGCGCAATTTTGTCCCAATTTAACCGAACCTGTATCTCTTACCGTTTCCTATATTCCAATGATTGCTCTCGAAAAACGGACACCCTGTATAGATAAATCTTCTTGATACCTATTCAATTAACCGTTCAGGGTCGGTTTCTCGATAGCTAGTCCAGGGTAAACGTGTCCAATTGCAATGTTTACCCTGGAGTTATGGTTAACTGCTCTGACCCGGGGGCGACTTGCTTGCTATTGAGAAACCGGCCTTCAGGTGAGGTGCCAAAAATACACAGGAAAACCCTGTACCTGCTGACACAAATATGTTTGGGGGAATCCCAGAAAAGCGAAAGCATAGTCGCGGTTGCCTGGCGCCTACCAAATATCAAATTAACCAGAGAGCAGAGGTTACTCATATTGCATTGCATTGTTGTCGACATGAGGGCAAGTTTTCAGGGGGGGGCCTGCTAAATTTCAGGGGGGGCCCCGGTCGTCGGAGGAAGAAAAGTTTTTCGAGTGCCACGCCCAAAATCGTTTAAACTAAGCCTTCAAAAAAGCAAAATTTGAGAAATTAGAAGTTTTTTTAGCTAGGAATTTTCGCGTATTCAGCATAAACAAAAACGGCGCGTAACAGACCGATTTTAAAGCTTTTTATAAATTCATAAAGATTTTATTGTTCACAAAGAAAATGTTAAATCAAGAGTCTCAATATCAAAGAAATTCCAGACAGTGTTTCAAATCTCAATTTCTTTGGAAAACACAATAAGTGTTTTAACCACAGCTTCAACATATTGTTAATTACTCATACTATGAGCCTATGAGTTTGTATTACTCTGACACGGTCAGATTTCTTCATAAATCTTGATTTTTTTTAATTTCTGGCCCAAATGGGTCGTTTTCGGTTTTTGCTTTGTTTGACTTTGAAGAGAGGGAGCCACACGCTATTAAAGATCTATATCTTTCATACCGTCCGAATCTCTTCTGCAAAACTTTAGCGTAACTTGACATCAGGGGGCCTCGGGGCGAGATTAGATTAGCCCGCCCGCCATTAACTCACGCCCAAAAACGTTAATTTCAAGCTTTCAAAATAGTATAATATATACCTTATTTCAGTTGGTCATTATATACCGAGCGCTTTTATAAACCCAGGCGCGAAGCGCCGAGGTTTATAATGCGAATTTTTTACTACTGCTAGTAGAAAATAAAAAATAGGTTTGAAATCTGTACTCAAATTATTTTTTCTTGTCGGAAGTCCTGCGCTTTATCAACAGCTTATGGTAATTTCCTATGATGTTACACACAGGAACCTTAAATCAATAGAAACTGGTCAGCGATGACCCACGAGACGTAAACAGTGGGTGCGAAGCACCCACGAGCATAGACATAAAAACTGATATTCTTCTCTAGTTCCTGGAAAACTGGTTAATTTTGTACCTCGGGTTCCTGAAATCTGGGTTAACCAAATGTCAAAATAGTTACCGGCCATGATGTCGGTTCTGTTGGTTTTATCAACGTTTTATCTGTAACTTCTGTCAATTATGTTTTATTTTCATATTTGCGTTCCCCAAAGTAACCGGAATTTCCAGTATATCTGCTGACCGATTCGGTTACTTTAGCTCTGTTCCAGCAGACATGAAAACCTTTTTAGAACGGTAATTTCCAATCGATCAATCCATTTGTCAATTAGGAAAAACGTTCAACTTATTGAAAAATAAGTGGGCAACTGGAAATTATTGGTTCTGGAACGGTTATCATGTCTGTTGGAACAGAGCTAATGGTTAACGTTTGGTTATATTTGGACCATTGCCTATATAAGTTATGTTCCGATATCAACTCTGTCAGTACTGAATTTACTGTACGCCGTTCCGATATTATTTTCAGGACACTGAATTCAGTCGATTCAGTACTGAATGACCACAAGAGTACCCTGTTGAAATTGGAACGGCAAATGACAGTAAAATCAGCACAGTAAATCCAGGGCCGAGATTCTAAAATCACGATTCGACACACGACTCGACAACGATACCGGCCTTGTCGTGTCGAAAGGTATAATTCCAATGAGATTTCTAACCTAGAATCGTCGGAAAAATCGTCTCGTTGTCGAATCGTATGTCGAATCGTGATTTTAGAATCCCCGACCTGTACTGGCAGTTGATATCGGAACATGGTGGTACTTTGTTCAGAAGAAGAAGATGAAGAAAATCAGAAATCTTTTATGGAGAACAGCGTAAAACGCAGATTTTTGGTACATGCTGCCTGGAAAAGAATATCTGCAGGAGTTTTCCACACTTTACAGTAGAGTGTTTTCACAGCTATCAGACCAATACCCACCTCTACCATGTTAAAACCCCTCTCCAGCACAGCCATCATACCACTACCCACCTCCACTGTACTCCCTTCCGTGAAGCTCCTACCCTGAGGAGGCACTTTTTACCCACCTGCACTGTAAACCCTCTTCTGTAAAGCCCTCCATTAATCTATTTTCAAAAGGCTCTTACCCTGAGATGGCACTTTATTATATCCCTTCATTTTCTTGAAAAACTAAAGAATATTTAACCAATTCTTCCATTTGTATTCGAATTCGTCAATTTTAGGGTTGGCCCGAGTCAAATCCCTAAAATTTCAGATCAAAAGCGCCGCCGATCTAGAGATTTTCCTACGTTACGAAAAACTTCCCAGGCTCAAGTGCCCCTGACTATCAGACCAATACCCACCTCATACGTAAGTGGTCCACCAGATTCACAAGCAAAATGTTATTATTGCAATAAAATTAATCTCATGGAGTTTAGAACACTATTGACGAATACAAATGCAGGAATTGTTGAAATATTCTTTAGTTTCCAAGAAAGTGAAGGGATATGGAAAGAGGTACCTCTTCAGAGTAGAAGATTTTTGAAGTAGTGGAGGTGGGTATTGCTCTGATAGCTGTGAGGTGGGTATTGGTCATAAACAGGTGCATTAATTTTATTGCAATAATAAATATTTTGCTTGCGAATCTGCTAGCTGGGGGCACTTGAGCCTAGGAAGTTTTTCGATACCGTGGGAAAATCTCTAGATCGGCGGCGCCTTTTTCCGAATGTAAATTAAAGAATGCTGGTAAACGTTTTTGGGCGTGGCTTCTGGAGAAGTTTTTTCGCAATTGGTGGTAGTGCCCAATGATTGAAAATTCAGGTTTCTTCACTGTCTTATAATAGCGAAACCGCTTGTATTACATAAATTTGACCGTGTCAGAGTAATACAAACTTAACAGTTAACAGTGTGTTGAAGCTTTGGTTGAAACACTTTGTGTTTTCCAAAGAAATTTCAAAAATCTTTAAAATGTTAAATGCCTGACTGGGCAAAAATGCAGAAAAATATAGTACTGGAGTACTGGCTCCTAACGGCGGCGGCGGCTTTGGGTCTGTTTGCATAGAAATCACAAACCAGTCAGAGTGAATTTCATTGGTTGAAACTACTTTTCTGAATGTTTCTTACTGTTTTCAACCAATTAAATTCGCTCTATAACTGGTTTGTAATTTCTGTGCGAACCTTTTACCTATTTATTTACCTACTTGTTTTGTTTTATCGATAAAATGCTGTCCCAAATTTTGCCGCTCCGGGCAAATGCCTGGGTTGCCCCCCCTAAAGCCCGGGACACATCTATCATGCATTCTTCCGATCCGACTCCGATCATACAATCAAGGTCCTTATTCTTGGAACAGGAAGCAGCGTTCCCAGGAGAATGAGTGTTCCGCTGCTCCCCTGCTTCAAGAATAAGGACCTTGATTTGTATGATCGGAGGCGGATCGGAAGAATGTATGATAGATGTGTCCCTGGCTTAAAGCGGGCCCTGCTTCCAGAGATGACAATTGAATCTATACAATTGGCCAATTTTGGACCGGTTTGCCAGTAGTTATATTCAGGGTAAATTATTTTTGGGGAGAATACAATAATTTAATGTTTTCCTTGCTTTAAAATTAACAAAAGGGAATTAACAATAGATTTATAATAACACTAGATATTTAGGTATGCTTACTTAAAGTCTTCCTGTAAAAAGTGTGCCCAAAAAGTATCAATAGACTTAATAATTTTCCTCAGCTGGCCACCCAACAAGGGCTGAATTATCGGAGTCAATTTTCTCATATGATTACCACTCCTCTGCGCTGAAGGCACTTGGCACGATCGTGCATCCATGAAGTCGCATTCTTCCACCTTGATCTGTTCCGGATCGATCTTGACGCGTTTCAAACACGGATAAAGCCGTTTCATGCTTCTAAGTATAGCGTCCGCGCAGAGGGCTTGCAAATCAGCACCACTGAAGCCCGCAGTAACCTCGACCAAAGCCGACAGCAGTTCCGGAGCGGGCCTATATTTCCATGATCCTGTGTGCACTTCGAGAATTTGCCTTCTAGCTTCTACACCTGGCAAAGGGAAATAGAGTTCCTTATCGAATCTGCCTGGTCGTCTTAGAGCCGAATCGAGAGTTTCGATACGATTGGTGGCTCCGATTACGATTACTCCTGGCTTACTGTCCAAGCCGTCCATTAAGGACAGTAATGAGGCCACGACGCTGGCATGAACTTGTTCCTGGTTTTTGTCTCTGGCCGGAGCGAGGCCGTCTATTTCATCGAAAAATATTATCGATGGTCGGTTTTTTGTTGCCTAGAAATTATGACATCGAATAAGCGGCCACGATTTATATATACGCAACGGTATGCAAGGAAACTGAAATTATACATGTAGACTATGGATAGTCGGATACACAGAAAGCATGTATGATTGAATTTTTGTCTGATCAGTTTAAAAGAGGTGTTATATTGAAGTAGTTCATAGTCCAGTTGGATTCAAAAGAAAGATGAGGGAACGGACATTTGCATTAAAAATTTGTGCCTGAAGTCGTATAAAGACAGAGGATGATTTGGGATAGTCGGTATTAAGAGTTAGGGGGGCAATCAAAGACATAGCAATCAAGAATACAGTAGATTACCTATTGCAAAAATATTGAGGATGTTAAAGTTTTAAGTCAAAAAGAAAGTGTTAACTCCTATACCTTATAATGTAGGAGATACCATAGTACGAAGACAACTCGCAGGTAAAATGTCCAGCTACAAACAAAAAAGTGCAAGTGCTGTCTTTTGGAGCGAGCAGGCAGAACAGCTGGACAAAACCAAACCCAATCCAATCAAGAAACTGTAAATTCTGATAGCAATAGCAAACATGACGAAGAAAATGATAAAAGTGTATATATAATCAATGACATCTTAACACGGATAGACACCGCATCTCATTCATAAAACTGATATTTGTTATGATGACAAGGCTCCCCATGGGCCAAGGGCGGTGAAGCTACTCGAGGGGGATCATGGTGGGGATACATCAGAGGTGTAAACAAGACCTGCCTCATGATATAAATTCTTCACTTGTTTTACAAAACCGACGTTGCCAGTATTCGGCCATAACAATTTGGCAATATAGTTTGAGGGCATAAATCCTAGGTGGATCGCTCTCGATTTTGGGGACCGGAATTTTGTTTACTGTAAATGTCTATCTGTGTTAATACGTCATTTGGTACACCTACCTACCTTGTTGATGAATGTAAAACAGTAGAATTATCTTTATGATTTAAAGTTATCCAAATACAAGGAACTAAAGCTAAAATTCGAACTTGATTCTGGTATTCTACAATCTACTTTATGATGTAAACTTATTCATTCATTCATCTAGATACTAATTCAAGTTCCATGTGTTGAATAGATAGATAACCTACCTATCTTTGTTATTCTTATTTTGATTGAAGAATGAGAGTGACGGTTTGTTAAATAATTCAATAATGAAAATCTAGATACCGATAATTATCTAAAAGTGGCATCAAAACAACAATCTGGGGCGATTCTATCCAAAACATGAATCAGTCAAAGGTAATATTTATGTGTTAATTATATGGTATTTGAATAATTGAGAATCAGATTCTAACTATGGTGTTTCTTAACCATGCAACAGCTTCGATATATAGAGTCCGCGTCAAGAGTAAAGAGTACGGTGACGTCAAATGCGCACAAACCCAATTTTAAAGACTAACCGAACTATCGTATTGTTCGGTGCTGCTGCCGAACGCCAAGCACGTGGTTCATTGTCGTAGGTACAGCCAGCAGGCATATTTATTAAGTTTATTTTCTATCCAAGTTTTGTCTAAAAAGATACTCCGCTGATGGTCTCTTCGCGCAGCTTTCCGTGTCGTCACCGTACTCTTTACTGCTGACGCGGACCCTACCTTTTCAAAAAGTTCACGTAAATTTTTCTCGGATGCCCCGAGCCATTTATCCAAAATATCGGCACCTTTTCTTGAGAAAAACGAAACTTTTCCAAGACCTTCCTTATTGATTTCAGTTGCCAAAGCAGCTGCTACCAAAGTTTTTCCTGTTCCTGAAAAAAGACAAGATTAACATATAAAAGTTGATGGCTGGAACTTCCTCACCTGGTGGTCCGTAAAACAGGACGCCCCGCGGGGCTTTTATGTTGAAATGCGAAAACACATTCCCGTGAAGTAGCGGGAAAATTATGATTTCTCGCAACGTTTGCAAATTCTTGTTCAAGCCGCCAATTTTGCAAAAGTCTATGTGATGCAGCGACTGTTTGGTGATCCGCCTCGCCGGTGGTTTTCGCGGCGGAAAATCTGGATTTAGAAGGGACATTTTAAATTTTGAAAATTGAACTGATTTTGATTAGTTTTTGTCAGAATGACGCATACCTGTATAGAAATACAGGACCTTACAAGCAAAACATAACATTGGGATTGGAATAGTAATTTACCTAACAAATGCAGAAAGTGATACTTTACCGCACAAAACAGCAATTCCTAAACGTTAAAATCACCTTTGCTACATTTAAAATTGGGGAAAAAATTAATTCATAAGCACAGCCTGAATCGCATGCATTTTATCGAGGTCTGCGAGTGACGTCACTGCTATTAGTTACTGAAAGTAATAACGTCACTTGCAGACCCTGCCGACTCAGGACTTGGCAAACGTACGCTTTATGAGGATGAGCAACCCTAAGTTTACGATTCTTGAGAAGAAGAAGGTATTATCAAATCGAAAAAATATCATATAGAAAGATTTCATATTCTCTCATATATTTATATCGATATGAAATAGGAAAACATCTCTTGCATGTCCAAACGATTCCAAAAGCCAAATGTAATAAAATAAAAAAAGAAGAGGAACCATAATGTCCAAAGTCCATAAAACAAATTTTTTATTTTCATTTGTGTTTTCCTTTCCTGTTTTGTGAATTTCTTTTCATCAAAACTATAATCATATCTCTGTATGTGAAGAAAAGTGTTGATACCTCTGGAAAAACCAATCAAGTAAAGTACCACTTGGAAATTGTTGAACAATCCCATTATCATTAGTACCTACTCATTAGTTTTAGCACCCACAACCTTTTCTTACTGATCTGTTACAATCATGTACACTGAAAATCAACCATCTCAATCAACCACTGTGAGCCGCTTATCACCGACACCTTCGAACAACGAAAGGAACCCCCAAATCACCAGATTTCATAGGTATCATGGTGACCACATAGAGTTATCAGAAGATGACACGGTGGCTTATCGCAAAAAATCGTTCGCTAATGCTGTGACGTTCAGTGAAAAGCCCCTACAACCTGGGGAGATATTTCTTGTGGAAATTGAGCAGAATGAATCGGGTTGGAGCGGACACATGAGATTAGGGCTGACTCAGTTGGATCCTATGGGAATGCATGCGACTGGTAGTATTCCACAATATGCTTTACCAGGTAAAAATAATTGTTCTCTAGATATTAATAAATTTGTACTGCTTTTCTTACTTTACGCAGCTGATCGGCGTTAACTTGTCCCATATACCTAATAAACTCATAAATAGCAGCTCCTAACAAATCTTCCTGATTTTTTGAGCAGGTAGCCAGTACAAATCAACAGTCTAAATATGTTATCATGCTCTTTATCTGTAACCAACATGTTTTATTGAATCAGGACCGGTTTATCAATGAACGGTTATTTGGTTAATTACCTAACAATTATCATTAGTTAATCGACAGCTAAACTACATAGATAATTGTCCACTGATAAACCGGTCCTTAGACTACAAAAATGTTATTGTAAAAGCTTACAATCTCTAACATCTATGACCGAGTCTATGACCATTTCCAAACTTCACCATGAATTGAATTTTGCACATACCATTCTTTCTTCCATTTATTGTTTCTGGGTTTAGGGAATTCCATTGGTAGACTCTGCAATTAGTTGAGAAGTTTTTTCTTCCAAGAAGAAGGGTTCTGTTCTCTCCTTTTCAAGTTTTTGGAGGTTTAAGTTTTGATTCTTCTGTATAAGTAGTAGAATGTCATTCAGAATCTTGTATGTTTCAATAAAGTCTCCTGTTTCCCTTCTTTTCCTAAATATTGTCAACTGACATTTTTGTGGTCTTGTTTCATATGGCAGGTTTCTTAGTTCTGTTGGAATTTTGGTTATTTTTCTCCGAACACTTTCTAAGAGATCCATGTCTTTGATGTAGTAAGGAGACCAAACTGTGTAGCCATATTCTAGTTTTAATGTAAATGGTGTACAGTTTTAATGTTAATAAATAGTAGGTATAGAGTTTTCTTATCATTTCCACAGTTATTTTCCCAAAATTTCAAAATTTCTTCAGTGGAAAATAACAACATGAAGAATCTTGGTTTTGTCACCACATTTGTAAACCAATATTAGTATAGCTTTTTTCCAGATTTTTGGCATGGCACATTTCTTCAAAAATATAGGTGGTATCCCGTCTGGACCTGGTATTCAGCTATAGTTCGTCAAATTCTGAGGCCCTATTTATTCTAATTTTTAAAATAATATGCCAGTCAAGTCAAATCCTCAAATGAGAAGTTCTAGTCAATGACAGTTAAATTTTTCTGTTTCAGATTTAGCAGACATTGGTACCTCATGGATATACGGCATCAGTAAAGCACATAACAATGTCTTTGAGTATTACAGCGACAATGGTAAATCGCGTATTAGATGCGGCGCTGATAAAGTCAACAAAGAAACTAACTCTAATTCTCTCAAAACGTGCAGAGGCGCCGTGCCGGTGAGTCTGCTGAAACCTTCAAGAGCTTTCGAAGACATTTTGCCCACAGATATGGGATCTAGGATAGGTGTGATGTATGTTCCGACCGATGCAAAAGAAGCGGAAATGCATTATATTATTAACGGTGAAGATATGGGGGCTTGCGTTAAGAGGATACCTTACAATAATGCACCGTTGCATGTGGTTGTTGATGTGTATGGGACTACAAAGAAAGTGAGGATTATACAGTTATATGCTGGTATGTATTAATTTTTTATTGATTTAGCTAGTTTATTTGGGACTGCAATCAAACAACAGAATTATGTTATTTGTAATTTCCCAGATTTCCCCAACACATTATTTTTAATTTCTCTTTAGTACCAACATTACAAGCAGCATGCAGGGACGCCATTCTGTTTCACATCAAGAAAAATGCAGTTTCTTTATTGCCTCTGCCAAAATTGTTGAAGGATTACTTACTATATCAAACATAGACGAGTATATTTTACTGTAATAGTTACTAGTTATTTTTAATTAATTTTCTATGTATTTTTTGCTTTGATTTAATTGTTGTTTGCTATCTCTAAGGCTAGCAATTAACAAAATCTTGGAATAAAGAACTCAATTAATAAAACTACAAATCTCTATCCTGATGACGGACAATATAAATTAACTACAGCTTTTGTTATTCTACTTATTGTATTGAAAGTTAAGGATTATTTGATAGTAGTCAAGTTATTATGCCACCATTGTGGAATAGTTTATATATAATTTTAATATTAAATTAATAATTTAAATTGATGTACTTTTTTGTTGTTAATTCATTTGAAGCTCGAAAGTTAGCTTGTATAGAAAGATGAAAACCAATAAATTCTGCCATACAATTTCACCATGGATGGAGCCAAGCCAACTTCACTTGGATGATGAAGAAGTATTTTGTAGCAAAGGCATTTCATGACTTTGTGACGTACTTAAACAACAACTACTCTTAGAGGTTCCGTTTTTTCTGAATTTATAGTAAGAACTGTTATTATATAAAGTCGGTGTAATGCATATTCTAGATTGTGGATTTTTGTCCAATGTGTTTATACAGATCCTGGCAATTTTATAAGAACAAACATGTTTGGATTTGTTGAGTTAGTAAGGTACTTTTAAGTTTATGAATTATTGCATTTTACAGGATGTTATACATTTATTTAGGCATAATACATATTTTGTTTGGTTTATTAATTTCCTATCTATTTCCATGTAAAAGTGTCCAAAACTGACCCAATAAGCCTCCTTTTGTTTGGCTTATCAGGTGTAAACCTAGAGAAATGTCTTATTAGCTAGAACCGTTTTTAAATGATTTTCTACCTTCAGTTGACGACTGAATTATTCGAGCGATTCTGAAACATGTGAAGGAGCATTTGCGTGATTAATTTAATGGGGTTTTATTTAAATTGTGTAGAATATTCGAATGAGATGCATCATACAGATTCAGACAAAATAACTTTTTTAGAAGTGTTCTGGAGGTTGAAAAGGGAGAAAATAAATTTTTAAAACATGGCGTCAAACTGAGTAGGTTCTTTGATTCCACGCCCTGTTCTCAAACCGACAAATTCTTACATTAAAATCTTATATCTGAATTCAAGTAGCTGTGTTATCATGCAAAAACTGTTCTAGCTGGACCCTGTGAGCTCTATTAATATGCATAATAAATGTTTAAGTGAATTTTGTAGTTTTATTTCAAAAAAATTATTCAATCACAGTATACTTTTTTAAGAGAATACTCTACCACATTATAGTTTTGTGATTTGAAGGAAGGTTTGGTGGCCATCCCTATCCGATTATAATTTTTATCGAATATTGTGCTATCTCTAATAGTTGTCTGTCAATAAATAAATAAAACAAATAATTAACTCCCGAGTTACTCCCATAAACTTATTTATTTGAAGAAGTTCTTTGACTCAAGAATAAAATGTTTGCATGAAAAAATATATTCAAAAAGTTTACGAACAAAGCAACTAATCATTTATACAAAACTAAAAAATTATTTTTACGTCTTAAATCTACTTACAAAAATTATCATAAACTTAAATTAAAAATATAATTCCGTCCGCCATCATAACTTGATTCTCGTCGCCCATCTTTTCGATAGCGGCGGCAATTTCGCCCTGCGAATACGGACTGGCGTTATTCTTATTAACGAATTCTTTTACTTTGACCAAAGCCAAAGCTTGAGTTCGGTTCTCTTGGAACGCTTTGCACAAAGCGGTTTTGAACGATTTCAACCGATCAGCTGAAATTTCTTTCGGAGATTCGTCGACTTCTACAGATTCTTGTGAAGAAGCTGGTAGCTCCGTAGCCAGTTCGGTTTCTTCCATCGCTGTGCCGTTTTGGCTTGTTTTATTGGAACTTTGCGTTGATGCTAGTTCATCGGCCGAATCTTCGCCAGCTTCAGATCTCTGAAGAAAAAAATAGTCAAAATTAACTTTTTTTAAATAATTATTGACTTTTGGGAATCGGCTCTAACTGTTCCTCATTATATTTATAAACACAAAGAAACACAATCCTACTTGTTTATTCCGACATAACCAGCAAGTACCTTTTATTTGGAGTAGCACATAAAAGGTACTTGCTACTCTCCACATCTGGAGAGTAGCTTAATGTTAAATCCTAGGTATTTTTGGTTGTTTTTGAAAGACAAAAAAATTGCTCATGAAAAGGAACTCAGTCTGTGACTTGTGACTGAAGGCTTTGCCTCATTTTTTAAATCTGGTTTTGTGAATGTGTTTGTGAGCTGTCTGAAATAAAGTCATATTTTTGTGATTCAATGTTATATGTATATATAGTTCACATATCTCTGGGGAATACAGAGGAAATTTCTAAGGTATATTTTTTTAAGAAGTTTAGTTTCTATCCTCAACAGGGCTGTGATAATAGAATTTTATTGCATATGTTCAATAGGATGCCTTTGGAATGTCGTAGAGCATGATTGTGTAGGTACTATGTTTAGGTTGATAAAGGGAAATATTGACAGTCCTGATATTCTTGGTGAATTACCATTTGTAGTAACTAGAGTGAACGTTACCAGTGTGAAGTTAGCAGCCAAAACTTGGCAGCCAATTTGACGGAAACGTCCGAACGTCCAGTGGCGTAGCATTTTTTTTCAATTCAAAATAAATTCAATAAACCATACTTACACATCGAGTCTAGCTATGAAATTGATAGGGTACTATTTTAATATCATCTCCAATCCCCATGCGAAAGCCCATCAACTCAAACCCCGTCGAAATATGAAAAACCACCCTCAACAAGTAAAAATGCATAAATATTGATATTTTCGTATTTTTTCCAACTCGGACTTCGAGTCTTGCCATGAAATTATTAGGGTACTCTTTCAGTACCATACCCAACCCCCATGCAAAATCCCATTAACTCAAACCCCGTCGAAATATGAAAACTTACCCTTAACAAGTAAAAATGCATAAATATTGATATTTTCGTATTTTTCTTCAACTCGGACTTCGAGTTTTGCCATGAAATTAATAGGGTACTCCTTCAGTACCATATTCAATCCCCATGCAAAATCCCATTAACTCAAACCCCGTCAAAATATAAAAAACTACCTTTAACAAATAAAAATGCATAAATATAGATATTTTCGTATTTTTTCCAACTCGGACTTCGAGTCTTGCCATGAAATTAATAGGGTACTATTTCAGCATCATCTCCAACCCCCGTGCAAAATCCCATCAACTCAAACCCCGTCGTCGTTAATATTGAGATTTTCGTATTTATGCCTTTTCACTTGTTAAGGGTAGTTGTTCATATTTCGACGGGGTTTGAGTCAATGGGATTTTGCATGGGGGTTGGATAAGGTGCTGAGAGACTACCCTATTAATTTCATGGCAAGACTCGAAGTCCGAGTTGGAAAAAAATACGGAAATCTCAATATTTATACATTTTCACTTATTAAGGGTAGTTTTTCATATTTCGACGGGGTTTGAGTTAATGGGATTTCGCATGGGGATTGGAGATGATATTAAAATAGTACCCTATCAATTTCATAGCTAGACTGAATTTATTTTGAATTAAAAAACAATGCTACGCCACTAGTCGTTCGGGCGTTTCCGTCAAATTGGCTGCCAAGTTTGGACTGCTAACTTCACACCGGTGTGAACGTTAGAGGTAAGAAATTGTTTTATCTGGATTTCCCTAGAACTTTTTTTTGAAAATAATCCTTTATTATTACTTTATAATAATATGTTTAACAATATTTAACAGACTCTCCAATCAGTGCTGATGGCGCTGGCCTCGAGAGTATAATTAATAAACTTTTAACAATTAACCATACTTAAAACTAAAATAACATCATAATTATTTATTTTTCTAGCAACTAGCAACAAGATTTAATTATTTTTTATTTTATTCCTAGGAAGGTTTTCAGTCTCCTAACGAACACACTGTAGTTATTTATCAGTCTTAGACTTTCCGGTAACGAATTATACAGTTTAGATACTTCGTGAATTGGGCTATAAAGACCTACATTTATTAGACTATAGTTCAGATATACATTATTATTATTTCTCGTATTATGACTATGTATTTCGTTGGTAAAGATTATATTTGTATTTATTTTTTGTTTTTGTAAGATAATTTTATGCATTAGTTTACCCTGTTCAAGATTTAATATTTTCTCTAACATGCAGAGACCTAACTCACTGTATAGGATATCTGTGCTTGTAAGTATATCATAATTGAATAAAATCTTTAAGACCTTATTTTGTAAAATTTGAATTTCATCAAACCTAGTTCTAGAACAGGTACCCCATACTGGCAGTAGGTAACGCAAATGGGACAAAAAGAAGGCATTATAGATATTCCTTTTTGTTTTGATAGATAGATAATCTCGACATTTAAAGATTATGGGTATCATTGGAACAATTTTATTTTTAATTTTGTTTATGTGGCTTTGCCAATTTAACGACTCATCAATAATTAGTCCAAGATATCTAATCTCAGTAACCATCTCCAAAGTTGTATCATTAATTTCAATATTTGTACTTTCAATCCGTTTATTTTTTTGCTTGAAGAGCATATATTTGATTTTATCTGCATTGATTTTCAATTTGTTGAAGTAGAGCCAGTTACTGTATAGTTTAAGATCTTCATTGACTTCTTGCATAAGTTCTGTCTCATTTTCACCCGTGTATACCAAAGCTGTATCATCAGCAAAGGTGAAATACTGAGCTTTTAGGTTTGCACATCTAAGGCTCAAAACATACAAAGAATATAAAATAGGACCGAGGACAGAACCTTGCGGTACCCCATACATATTAGTTAGTAACTCGCTCTTTACATTACCTAATTTCACATATTGTTTTCTATTGCCTAAATACGATTTAATAAGGGTAAATATAGGTTCTCTAAAGCCCATCACAAAAAGTTTTCTCAGAAGTATGTTTATGCTAACCACATCGAAAGCCTTACTCAAATCAATAAAAACAGTTATCACAATTTTTTTTTCATCTAAAGCTTTGCAGGTGTAATTGACAAAATCAAAAGTAGCGCCTAAAGTGCTACTATTTCTAATAAAACCATACTGGAATTTGTCAAAAGTTATATTGTCATTAATAAAATTTATCATCCTTTTTTTTATAACTTTTTCGATAATCTTTGAAAATATACTTATCACTGAAATCGGCCTATAATTACTCATACACTTTGAGTCGCCAGATTTATAAATTGGTGTAATCTTGCTTATTTTCAGTTCTTGTGGAAATATTCCTGTGGTAAGTAGGTATATCATTTACCAGTTTTGTTATAATTTTCAAAATAAATTCCCGTAAATTTAGAACATCAAGTACCGTTACTTCATCATCCCCTGGTGCAGAGTTTTTTTTAAGTTCCGATATGATTTCATTAATTTCAATTTCGTTATGGATGGTTATGGTAAATACTTATATAATAGTCTGTCCCAAAAGTTGTTCAGTGGCTTTGAACTGTCAGTCTTGTGCAAGCCTGATGCCAATCTAGACAATATCATCGATGGAATTGAGCCATTTATATCAGACTTTAGTGTCTCTGATTTTGTTGTTTTATTTGTTGGCCCGCATTGTGGCAGTGTGACAGAGAAAAACATTTTTACTTTAGCCAATAAATGTTTTCATTCAAACTTAATTATCTGTACTACTCCCACTAAACCTGGCTTCAATTATTTTCAAAACCAAACTTTAATTCGGGTAACAAAAAACCTTTCACGCTTTAATGATAATATTAAACTCCTCTCCTTTAATAATAATTCTTGCAGAATGTCAGAAAAGCATTTTGGCTTGAGATCTCAATTTTTGAACAAGCTTGGCTTGAATGTGGTTTCTAAATGTATTTTAAATTTAGTGTCTAACTTTTTTACATATCATAACATGGAATCAAATTTAGTTCATTTAGTTATTAGTGGATTTAATTCCAACTTGGTTAATATTAATGAAGGCCCAGATAATTTAGCTATTAATAACAGTTCAGTTGTGTATCAGGCAACTACATCAGATGAGATATTTGTGTCTTCGCAATCTTTTTTAATGGGAGCCGACATGACAGCACTGTTGGCTTAGTAGATTCTAGTGACAGGGACTCCCTCAGTGACAGGAAAGTAGGGAAGGGGTGGTCTGGTCAGGAAACATCAGGGATTTTTAAATAAGGCAGGCGAGCTTTTCGTACTTCTTGATGCTCTTGGGTTTCCAGATGTGCTTTATTTGAGTGAGCATTGGTTGTCTGGGGATCAGGTGTGTTTTGTCGAAGGTTACATTGTGGCATCAATTTACTGCCGCGAAAATTTCCGCAGGGGAGGTACGGCAATTCTTATAAAATCTGAGCTTTGTGAGAGACACAGATTCTGCTCAATTGATAGATTCAATTATTTGATTGAGGAGAGGTTGTTTGAGTTTTCGTTGGTGGCGGATTCAGCTGATAGCATTTACTTTGTTTCAGTTTACACTTCACCCTCCCAAAGTTCCAAGAGCTTTCTAAATAAGCTAGAACTTTTGTTGTGCTCGCTTCCTTCTTCAGCCAAGATAGTGTTGGGTGGGGATCTAAATATTGATTTTATGACGGAATATAGGGATGCCACCGACCTCAAAAATTTGCTTGCTAGTTTTAATATCAAAAGACATAATACGGAGTACACCAGGGTAACACCTACCTCAAAATCAGGGCTAGATTACGCATGCACAAATTTGGAGGGTACGGTGACCTCCATAACCCTTGATCCAGGAATGGGAGATCATAAGGCGATTTTCATATCGGCTCTTCTTTTTGGTACAGAAAAGGTTTGTTTGCGCAAAATGGGAAGAATCTATAGTCAAAGAAATTTCCAAACTTTTCATAATGAATGCTTATTGTATTGTTGGAACAATGTTTTTGCTTGGCAGGATCCCTTTAGTCAGTTTTACGGTGTTTTGCTGAATATCTTTAACAAGTGTTTTCCATTGCGTAGGATAAAACTTAAAAAAAGGAAACCTTGGGTGACGAGGGGTATTCGTATTTCTGGGAAAAATTTGAGATTTCTTTGGTCTGTTAGGCAACACACAAATAACGCATCCATTATAGAGTATACTAGCAGGTACCGATCCATCTACAGACGGACTCTAAAGGTTGCCAAAAAAGCATACTATAATGTCAGATTTCGGGATGCCCAAAACAAGTCTAGAGAAAGCTGGAATATCATTAATGATCTGCGGGGAAAGAATGGTCAACCGGCCCAAAATATTGAGATCGAACTGGATAAACTTAACACCTTTTATTGTACCATAGCGGACACATTAACATCCAACTTACCTTCCTCTGTTAATCCCCTGGATTATCTCAGAGAGGTATATGTACTGGAATCCTTCCAATTTCTTCCTGCAAGTCTAGATAAAGTCAAACTTGCGCTTATGGGGATTAAGAATAAAAACTCCTCTGGTTTTGACTGTGTTTCGGTTAAAGTCTTAATGAATCTCCCGGACTCAGCTCTGGATACTCTTGTAAATCTAATGAACTTGACATTTTTTACAGGTGTGTTTCCCGATTGTTTAAAAACAGCATTAGTCATTCCACTGCATAAGGGTGGTAATACTAATGATCCATCCAATTTTCGGCCGATTTCCTTGTTATCGTCAATTTCTAAAGTCATGTAGAAACTTATGAAATCCAGAATGTTTGAACATCTGGAAAAGCATAAAATAATTACTAATACACAATTTGGTTTCAGAAAGAGTATGAACACTGGGGACGCAATTTTTAATCTTTTAGAGGAGGTTTATCTGGGGCTCAATTCTAGATCGGACTCTGTGGCGGCAGTATTCTGTGACTTTTCGAAAGCCTTCGATTGTGTGAGTCACGGTATATTGCTGCAAAAACTGGAGCGATACGGCTTCCGGGGACGTTCGAGTGAACTGATCCTGTCAATGCTGTCTGATCGTTTTCAGGTCGTGGGTAGTAGAAGTACATATTCTAAACCTCTATTAAATCCAAGAGGAGTCCCGCAAGGATCAGTTTTGGGACCTTTACTGTTTTCAATTTATGTAGAGGATCTTGTTTCCTTGCCTCTTAGTTGTATGTTTACGCGGTTTGCGGATGATACTACTGCTCTGTGGCGCTGTCCTAGATCCACTCTGCATGAGGCGATGACTGCAGATATTGTTTCCATGAAGCAGTGGTGTGACAGCAACCAACTGTGTTTTAATATCTTCAAAACAAACATTCTTTCCTTTGGATTGTCTGTTGATCCCATAAATTTGGAGACGCAAACAATAGGTTGTTCTTCTAGTGTAAAATTTCTAAGAATAATTGTCGACAAGAACTTAAAATTTATTGAGCACATAGAGCGATTGAAAGCTCGACTAGCTTCTGCCTGCTTTGTTGTGAGAATGACTACTTCAGAGTTGGGGTATTCACTGGCAAGAATGGTGTATTTCTCCCTGGTGGACTCTGTTTTACGTTATGGGGTGGCCTTTTGCCCAGGTTACGCCTTTCACTCAGCATTCGTTCTTCACAAGCGTGCCATCCGTTATCTTCATAATAAAAAACAACGTGAACATGGCCGTCCCCTGTTTCTTTCTTCAAAAATTTTAACGTTAACTTGTTTATTTATTTTGGAAACTGTTTGTTTGGTTCGATATTCTTCGAGACTGTATATGAATAGACTGAACCAATTTGTGGACGGTAAATTCTGTTTTCTAGATTTAAATTTTAGGGGTACCTTATTAAGAAGGAAGGAACTATGCAAGCGCGTTTCACGTGTTTTTTGGTTTCAAGCTGCCCTAACAAAAACCTAACTTTTGTGAAATTGTGCGATATGAATGCAAGTGTTCAGTTATTCAATAATAATGCCAATACAGATATCCCTTTGAATAGCTCCCGCTGAATCGGTTGCTGCAGTGGAAATTCCTGAAGCAATAAATATTAACAACACTGACAACTGTCCGGAAAAGCTAGACCATTCAAATTCAATTTTTTTAGAGCTGCCGCCTGTAGCAATAGATCCGTAACGTCAAACAATAATACCCATATTTCTCTATTTTTACTCAACATTCAGTCGTTGAGACATAAGATTGACGAGTTGGATATACTTTTGGATAAGTTTGGATACCCTCAACTAGTTTTAATCACTGAACATGGTTGAGGGAACATGAATTGGTTTATATTCGAAATTATGCAGTTGTTTCAGTTTTCTGTAGGACCACATCAATTCATGGTGGTTCTTTAATTTTGGCACATAAAGATCTTCTAAAAATAGACTCACTACAGTCCATAGATAATTTCAATGCCCTACGCTTGGAGAATGCTTTCGAATTTTCAATAGTCTACTCTAAATGCCAGAATTTGTATATAGTTTGCATATATAGATCACCATTATCCGACGTAAATGATTTTTTTCATGGTTTGGATTCACTGCTTTAGTTAGGTATTTCATTTTCCCCACACTGTGCGAAATAGTATATTACATTACGAGTGTAGAAAGTGACAAATTTCACACGAGTGTATGAAAAACGCTTTTTCACGAGTGATGTACAACATTTTTCCTAAGACCAATTTTACAAATTTATACCAATTTTCTCTTATTTTATTTTCAATACACGTGCTGAAAGTATTCTCAACTTTCAACCCACGTATTGAAAGTAAATTATCAATGTCAATCACAAATGTGTGCTGAAAGTACTTTCAGTACGCGTATTGAAAGTACTTTCAGCACGCGTGTGATATTAAGCGCTTTCCAAAGAACCACACCTAGTGCGGATTTTGTCATTTTCGTATGTGGTCGTAGGAAAAAATATTTAACTTATTTGATATTAACTTTGACTAGTTTTGAGGACATTCCTCTGAAAATTAAACCTAAACGTTTGATTGGAAATATTTCAGACAAAATAAGGACAACAAATTTCAATGTAAATTTTGTGATTTTGTCTTGGATTTTGTGTACCAAAAAAATGCAACTAGACAAAAAAAACATATCTTGAAATGTTTAAAAGCACCACATGATGTTAAGGAATTATATTCTTTGAAATTCTCTAAAATTCTCCAATGTTCCCGAATATTCTCCGAAAAAATTCTCTCAAGATAAATTCTCGGGAATTTGCCATCTCTAATCAAGCAATAGGAATGAAGAAGAAAAAAAAAATAGCTTACACTCTTTGCCCCTGGAAAATGTTTTACATCTATCAGCACAAGATAAAATATTCTACATGACTTAAAAGGTAACTGATTACTAATAACAAGATTAACTTACAGCTCTTCTGGTTCTCTTTGGTTTCTGTTTATTATCATCATCATCATCGTCTTCGCTTTCAGAAGACGCGTCCTCTTTTCTACGTCTTTTTTTCTCTTTTTCCAACACTTTTTTGAAGTAGGCATATTGTATAAGTTCAATTGCCGCATTCGCATCTATTTCCTCTACCAAACGGGACATTCTTGCTTTGGCGTGAGCGGTTGATAGACGAATCATTGTTTCCAGTGAACGTGCAGTAACCGGTTGAGTCTAAAATTGACAAAGTTATTGTTAACAATTATTCGCACAGAAATCACAAACAAGTGATTGATTGAAACTAGTTTGTGATTGCTGTGCCAACAGTCCTTAAACTGTACAACGAAATACCTTTTCAAATTTATGTGTACAATGATTGTTGGTAGATTTCATTAATTTTAAAGTTTCCATGGCTTTTTTGAAAAAATCTTCAAAATCGTTATTACTTATACTATTCAGAGTGATAATTTTTTTAATTAGGACCATTTTACAAACACTAACGCTCGCTAGAATGCAATTAAATCTATCAGATGCTTGATTGTGTTTATTTTGAATAAATAAACTGCACATCTAGCATAACATTGTATTTAACAATAATATAAATAATCTTGAGTGATTGGCAATAAAATTTAAAATATTTATTTATTGATTCTTACCCTTGCAACATCATTTTCCAACATTTCCTCTGACCTAAGTCTAGAATACTCCTGAGCAATAATTGCTGAAGCCTTGTCTGTCAACTGAGGCTTTAAAATTTTAACCAAATGTATATATTTCCTCATAAAATTCACACTGAGAATTTTATCAGACTTTTTACGGCTATTACCGTGCAACAAGGCATCGTATTTTTCAAACATCGGCACTTCTTTCAATTCGTCTTCGTCCGGATTATTCGTACTGAAAATGTCCACTGTGGATCCCATGGGCAAAATTTCGCCGTCTTGTTCCAACGGGTTTCTGTACATGTGCATTCTGACCACATGATCCGATATGTCGAAATCGGTCCTTTCGTCTATGGTGTCCAGCATGACGAAAAGCAAATCGAAACGAGACAGAAGGGAATCTTGAAGGCCGATATTTTCCATTGGGGTTTTATATTGGTCGTACTGTGAAAAAAAATAGTTATAAAATGATGATTCAGTGAATAACTGAAGATTGAGTTTTGTCAAATGGTTATCAATGAAAACCTTATTGCTTTGATGAAATCCCAGGCTTTTAGTATCGATATTGAATTTTTTCTTAGATTTTATATTCCTTTCTTTATCCTTAAATTGCACTTTGATATGATTGTTTTTATTTCCTAATCGAAAAGTAATAAGGTTACCCAGTTAATCAGCTTGGTTTTAAAAAGGTTAGACTCAGAGCTTAAAACATTTTTACATGGAAAAGCCTACTATCATATTAGTGATTTTTTTAAATGAAAAATTTTAATTTTGTTTGATTCATTGTTTTGTTTTGTTCTGACCGCAACCTTTATGTTTCTCCTGTATTGGCTGTACCTTATATATGACTCTATAGTTTGATGTAGTAATTGTACCTGTGTTGCTTAGGATTATGCTTTGACGTTTATGTTTATTTTTTATTTTATTGGTTGTACCTTTTTTTTTATAACCCGATAATTTTTAATTACTTGCACATTACTTAAGATCATGTTTTGTCAATGAAATTTATTTTCTGACAATAAAAAAGTATATTTTGATTGATTGATTGAATATTACCTTCTAGATTAAATCGGATATTGTTTCAGCAATTAACAGTAACGATTTCATAAATCAAATAAAAAAAACCAATTAGACGATTACCTTTCCATAAACAGGATTAGCAGCAGCCAATACCGAACACCGAGCATTCAAACTGGCATGAATACCAGCTTTGGCAATAGTAACCCTTCCCTGTTCCATAACTTCGTGAATGGCCGTCCTGTCGATATCGCTCATTTTATCGAATTCATCGATACACACGACTCCTCTATCGGCCAAAACCATAGCGCCAGCTTCCAAGCGTCTTTCTCCGGTTTCTTGGTCGGTGGTTACGGCTGCTGTCAGACCGACACCGGAGGAGCCTCTACCAGTGGTGGGGATAGCTCTAGGTGCCGTGTACAATACGTATCTTAAAAGTTGGGATTTCGCGACACTGGGGTCACCGATTAGGAGTACGTTTATGTCTCCTCTTAGACGAGTTCCGTTTGGTAAAACTTTTTCTACTCCACCTAAATAAGGAATTAATTTTTATAATACAATTACACAAAATTTTCAAATATGTTACCTAATAAAAGACAAAGTATAGCCCTTTTGACATATTCATGTCCATGAATAGAAGGCGCCAAAGACTTAGCCAACAAATTGAAAACATTCTTGTGAGATTTAGCTAAACGCTTGCAACGATGCACATCTTCTCTTGAAATCGACGGACTAGTTTCCTTACTTAATTGTTTTATATTGTTTGCAATGACGATAGTTCTGAATACCCCGCTTGTGAATGCTCCCTGATGGTTGGGCAGGCATCGGAAATTTCCTACAATTTGGACTCTGTCTCCAGGCTTACAGGCATCGACCAGGTCGTTATCGCAAATGATGTCCACAACTCTGGGCAATTGACCGGCGGGTGCTTTTTCTGGCATTTCTTGGATTGATATTGTTTGGTGGTCTTTGTATCTGCACAAGCCGAATTCTGTTTCTAGAGCGTTACCGTCGTCATCCTAAGATTGGTCATCAAAATGTTTTGAGCAAGAAAAACAGATTAAATTATGATTACCTTTGTTGGGTAGGCAGCGGATGTAGGAACAGCTTCAAGGGATGTTAAATCTGTATATTTTCTGTCCATAAATTTTTTAGTCATGGGACAATAGTGAACACTTTTGACGAGTTTCGGATAAACCAGAGAACCTGCAAGAATTTTTCAGGGAATTGATTTTTGACAATAGGAAATTGTGATGCCTACAACTATTTGATTGATCATTCTTTAATATCCTATAGATTATAAAATTCAAGAATGTTTGGTAAACTGAAGGAAATAATTTGGATAGCTCTGAAGCAACCTGTATTAAAAAATGGATACATTCAGGTTATTAGCAATAACTCTCAGGGCATAGTAACCAGAAGAAATTTTGTCGCATACTTTCACAGTATGGTCTTTAAACTTAAGAGATTTGTCTATTGACAGACTTCAAAATTGATTGAAGATTGGCATACTGATAATCTTTTCCAAGTAAATATCTTCAGTAGCACATCTAACTTCCATTCTACCAACCTCTGAATCATGCCAGAGGATAGTGGTATTGCCTGCAAATACTGTGAATCTAAAATCTGTTTTTTTTAAAAAAAGATAATAGACCTATCTATTTTTACCAAGTATGCGCGCGCAACACGAGGCAATGCCTTTCTATTGGCTAACTAATACAGGTGAGAGGTGTTCGTTTTGCACGCTGGGCATATCCTTGTCCTTGTTCATTGCCCGTGGTCCGACAAGAATAAAAGTATGATTGATATTCAACTTGACATAGCTTGGCAAGTGACATTCAAAAGTTGTTTGAAGTTTTCATTGACAAATACGTTGCACAACACGCGGTCTTTCTCCTTCCTTTTTTATCTCGTGCAAATAAGAAGAATGGATTGCTATACGTAAGTCTAACATAATTTGGTACGTTTTGCCTCGTCTTGCGCAATGAGCGTTCTGTGTTTTTTTTTCATCTAATGAAGTTTTCGTATTATTGCCTCTTTGTCTAGTAAAATAGATAGGTTTATTTCCCAAGTCAAAAATTTAGTAAATATGTTGGCAACACAAGCCTTTTCTACATAAAAAATTTGAAGCATTGACAATTTTACATTGTAAGGTCAATCATTCATAATGGATCTAATATACATATATCCTGTTCACAATCCAATGTCCACAGGTGCAGGTAAATTTATCACCTTTCCCTATCAGATAGCATTGAAAGGTGATAATTTTACCTTGTACCTGTGGACATCGGATTGTGAACGGATAATACCTTTGAACCAAAAGCAAGCGGCAGTAATGACAAAAAATAATCTAAATTGTAAACAAACACCTGCTGGTAATTCAGCTTTCCTATTGGTTGAAACGCCCTACTAGGACCAGTGTGCAGGGCATGCACGGAGGACATTTGATAGGTTGTAATGAAAATGAGCAGTTATGTGTTATGTCATTACTGCCGCTTGGATTTGATTCCACTATATTGAATTTATTAGGATAAGAATATAAGTTATTATATTGTCGGTCCCATGCCAGAACCATGAATGTGCGAAATTATAGTTTTGAGATAATTTCTTTTAAAGTTGTAATGATATGGAAAAATTGACGTTTTGGCCAAATATGGCAGGCAAACACATTCTTGAGTTTCGTATGGCAAATATGGCTCATAATAAGCTAGATGGTGCACTTGGGTCAAAACGGTCAATTTTGCACATTCATGGTTTTGGCATGGAATTGACGATATATTTATATGTATTTTTGTTATTTATACATATGTATTATTTCCCTGTGATATAAGTACTCAAATTAGTTGGGAAATAAAGTGTTAAGTGTTCATTTATTAGGTACACTCTATAAAAATCAATATAAACTTTTAAGTACATTTTCACATCAATTAGAATTCCCCTGGGGTTTATGGGTTATACATGGAAGTAATAGTAAATAATAAAACAGACATACATAAATAGAAACTCTGACCCATAAAAACAGGTGTTTTTAATTTGACTTATAAATGTATTAAACATATGAATGGTTTTTCCTGCCAATATACAATTGCAATCTGATGACATCCAGTTCAAAGGAGTTCTAGGACTAGCTGTAAATAGTTTGTACTCTCTAAGCCTTTAGTTATTCTTAGGTACATGGAAATGAAAATGAAAATGAAAAAATATTTTTTTTTATTTATTTATTTTTTTTTATTTAGCACTTGGCTACGAACTTCGGCATTGCAAAAAACACTGTTTGATGAAGGGCTTCGCTTTTTTAATGAAATGCCTGATGCTGTAAAAAATTCACCGAATGTATATATCTTTAATAGGAGACTGTTTACGTATTTGCGCAATCAATGTTAATTTTTTTTTTTGATGTAATTTTTGGATTTAGTTATAAGTAGCCAAGTGCTAAATAAAAATATTTTCAATTTCATTTCATTTCATTTCATATTATTCAGAATAAATTTTTGTCAAAAGTACAGAAAAGGACATTTTACAGTTTTATTAATGTGGCAACGTTCATAAATTCTTTACTATTTCTGATTGAAAATCTCAACATTTTGTACACTTTTTTACAATTAAAACTCAAGTTAGACTGTGATGTGACTCCCAGATCCACATGATGGTCCCTGTTGTGCAGTTTTGCATTGGCTATGCCATAATCATATTGAAGTTTTGGCTTTTAGAGAATGTTTATTTATTTATTTATCTAGTCTGATATAGTTGTTACCATTCTGAAATTCTTGAAGTCATCCGCAAATATATTATAGACACTAGGAACCTCTACTTAAACAAGACAATCAAGTAGGTCATTACCAAACATTGACATTGACAAAAGCAATGAATACTTCCCTATGTCACATGACCTTCAAGCAAGGTGAGTTTTCATTAATTTATAAGAGCGTTCAAAAAACCCAAAGTAAATGAGTATCTGTAACAAAAGACTTTATCAAAACCCTTCTCAGAGTCTGTAAATATCGCATCCGTTTGTACCTTGTGTCCATAGCTAATACCACGTGTTGCTAAATTCATCAAAATGGTGCACCACCACGGATGCGGTGATTAAAATTCACTAATGCCAATGCTAAACCACAGCTTGTCACACCCTGGTTAATTTAACAACACTGCTTGTTCTACCATTCCACCATGGTGCCTACACCAGCTGAATTTAGCCACACGCGGATAGTGCTTTAGACTGTCAGATAGTGACATATTTAGGTACCTCATTTTCGCATACAAGCCTCGAAGAGAGTTGGAAAGTACATCAACTTTGAGTAGGATATAGTTATTTTCCTAACAAGTGCGCAAAGTGTTACTTTTCCGCACGCAAACACAGTTATACGAACGACGCGAAGCGGAGTTCGGATACGTGTTTGCGTGCGGAAAAGACACTTTGTGCACGTGTTAGGAACAAAATTTTTCCTACGAGCTTCATATCGGGTAGGTAATAACAAAAATTTTAAAAAAAAACGATAATTTGTTGTTATTTTTAATTAACTTGAAGGGAACCTATGCATTTATCAAAAAATTACATAACAAAAAATCCTCGTCAGAGCTGTTCAAATTTGATGAGAAAGTTTGTAGATTTTTGCATATAAATAGAGAACAAATCTGACAATGTGTCAAAGTTAATTTATATTTGGTGTTTGTATAGATGTTGAGTGCGGAAAAGTGTAACTTTGAACCCGGAAATGCGTGCGGAAAAGTACTACTTTGCGCACGCTCGTAGGAAAAAGGTATTTTCACAGGTGGCTCCTGGAGATAACATATGGAAAATTGGATTTTCCATAACAGCAATGAAAGACGTCCCGGTGCCCATATTTTCTCGCAAGCCTTGTTCACCAAAGGATTATTTATTTATTTATTTATTTATTCATTAGCAAAAAAAAAATACATTTATATTCTTTCCTTTCTTTTTTATCACTACATACATACTAATCAATAATTCAATACTTGAAATAAGGGCCTAATGTTGGAAGGAAAAATCGAGATTTTGGGTTAGTTTGGGAAAGATGAAAATCTACAAAGTTGGTAGCAAGAAAACATATTGGCTCGAGTGTCGTGAATGGAAAATTACATTTTAGGGTAACATAATAAGTAAATTCGAATTTTCCATGTTATCCCCAGGAGCCACTCATGAAAATACTTTCATCCTACTCAAAATTGATGTACTTTTCAACCCTCTTTGAGGTTTGTATTCGAAAATGGGACACCTAAATATGTCATTATCTGACGGTCTATATGGAATTTGTGAGAACACAAAGGCTTGCTACAGTAGATTTACCCTCTGCAAAGCCACGCTGCTGTGTAACAATGTCCATTGTCCATACCTCGGTCCGCACAAATATTTTTGACAATGAGTTCAAGAAACATATTGGCCTATAGTTTGCAACATCACAAATATAACCTTTTTTATGCAGTGAAACAATCCGTGCTTCCTCAAGCTTACCTGGAAAAATGCTTTTTTTTATACAAGAATTAAAAAAACGAACCAGTGGCTTGGCTAAGATATCCACATATTCCTTATAAACATAGGAAAAAATATTATCATTATCAATACCAATAGTCTTTTTAAGCTTATGCATGTCCTATAATAGGTTCAGTTACTTTGGGAAAGTTAAAAGTGCACCAAAATCATTTATGTTATTAGTATGTTTCTAATCAAGATCATGCAAAATCTGTGATACCTTATTTAGGGCTTGTTGCTTGATATATTTGGCAACATTTCAATTCAGAAGAAGGTATTTAAAAAATGATAAATTGTAGATGAAATGTTACAATTACTGTCAAGCATTAAACTTACATTTGCTAACAATTCCTTCTACACAAATAAGGTTACCGAGAAACCTAGAAGTTAAGGTTCTAGGTGTAACATGTTTGTTACCAAAGCTTCCTTCGAAAGCAATAAAAAACTCTTCATGTTCCTTGCTGTACGTGATGTCTATCAGACTGACCATTTCTTTCAAAGCCCTTTGAAAGGCCAGTTGCTCCTCGAAGCCATTATTCAAAAGGGCCAAAGCCCTCTGCGGATTTTTCTTTCGCAAATCGTTTATGTTGACTACTAGTCGTCTGCTCTTGTCCGATATCATATCTCTGATGATTTGAGAGTATTTGCCTTGGTCTTCCTGCATGAGGATATCAATAATAATAATAATAAGCAAGGCTTAACAAGGGGTCATAATAGAATGTGTATTGGTACTTACACCATCATCTAAAAAGTCCTGATAATGGGCCTGGGCTTTACGAATTTCTTGCTCGTTAGTCGTTGCCATTTTTTTAAATTGGAGAATTATTTATTAGGAATATTATTACAAATGAGGATAAAAATACAAAATAACAGCATCAACATTCAACAACAGAAAAACACAAAACTCAACAGTTTTGGCGCCAAAAATCAGTAAACCCTGACTTTGACAATTATGACATTTCATTTTCTTCTTTTTTACATTTTTCGGCAGTAACAACTTGACCCTGTGTGTGACAGAGATGAGTAATAATAAATATCACCCACCACCGGAAAAAATTTCTTCTTTTTTTTTTAAGCTAGTCCTTTACTACTCAGTTTATTTGCGTCTTTTAATGCTAGCATGTAAAAGAAAAAGACGAAAATATATTAAAAAAATTGTGACTCAACACCAATTAAAATCCTTATTAGTTCAAAAATTAATTATTTTGAAATTCCTGGCAAAATCAAAAGAATTCAAAAAGTAACAATTATTTCATTATTGATTATTTTATTATCTGTTTTTATTTTTAGAGATATACAAACAAACGTGGCAAAACTATTCAACCTTCAACAAGTGACTTTTCAAGTTTATCTACCTCTTCACTTAAGTATTATTCTTTAATTATTTAATTTGCGCCTATCCCAAAAATGTTTGCTCGATGTTACAACAAAATATCGCATCTTAACTCAATAAGACCTTTTTCATCTACAAAAATCTTAAATGAAACACACAGGTAAGTAATTAATTTAACTACTTACTCACTCGTATAGGTACACATAAACTTTTTAGTTGTAAAGTCTTAGTTGTTGGGGGTGGCACTGGGGGCCTAGCTCTAACAGCAAAACTTTCAAGGACCCTAAACAAATCAAATTTGATTTTACTGGAACCCAGCAATGACCACTACTACCAGCCCCTTTTTACCCTTGTCGGAGGCGGTATCGAAAAAATGAAAGATACAAGAAAATATGAAGAAGATCTAGTGCCTAAAAATTGTACTTGGTTAAAAGATAAGGCAGTAGATTTTAATTTGAAAAAGAATACCGTGAATACTGCTCTCGGAGATAAAATCGAGTATGATTATTTGATTGTTGCCACTGGGATTATTCCAAGATACGAGCTTATTCCAGGTTTAGTTGAATCGCTAAAAAACCCAGAGTCAGGAGTTTGTTCGATATATTCACCCAATTATGTGGAAAATGTTTTTCCAGTAATGCAAAAGCTGAATTCGGGAAACGCTATTTTCACTTTCCCCAATTCGCCAGTTAAATGTCCGGGAGCACCGCAAAAAATTTGCTACATTACTGAAGATTATCTTAGAAAAGTACTCAGTAGAATTTAATAGTTGAGAGTTTATTTTAAATAGAATCTTTGCAGGAAGGTAAACGTACAAATGTTAACGTTATCTATAATACATCTTTGCCAGTAATTTTTGGAGTCAAAAGATATGCGGATGCCTTATGGAAGATTTGCAAAGAGAGAGATATTAATGTAAATACAAGAACCAATTTAGTTAGGGTCAACGGTGAGAAAAAAGAGGCTACTTTTGAAAATTTGGATAAACCTGAAGAAAAATCTATTTTGCCTGTAAGTATAGATTATGTTTGCACTTTTGTTTTATCAGTTCTACGAATATAATTAATAAATTCGATAACAGAATAGGTAATTTCCATTAAATATTTTTTGCTTGGGTGTTAAGTTAAAATAATTATGTGCCTATACTTATCGATGAGATATGTTTCAAGGATTTTCCTATTATGACTAATGAAATATTATTTATCAGGCACTTTAGTTTTGAGAAGTATTTAATTAGATAAAGCAAATACATAAAAAAATTGTGTGATTGACTTGAATTTAATCCTTGAGCAACTTTGATCGTAATTTTTTGTACCAAGTGGTATTTGGAAGTGCATCCTACATTGCTTGAATTATAAAAAAGATATCAAGTTTAAAAGTTAAATTTAATGGACTCTGAGCGAAGAGCCTATTTCAATATTCAAGACAAAAATTTATATTAATACTCAACTATAATCTTAAAACTTGTTTTAACAAACTTTTATTTGATAAAAAAAATCCTTTCATAAGTGTATTTTCAGTTCAAAATTGCACAAAATGGTCCAAATTTGCCCTAAAAGTGCTCACTTCCCATTTTTGCCTTGAAATAATGTGTAGGTGATCATGTAATTTGTCCAATAGCAGGCGGTATAGTCAATGAACAAGGGGTAATCCACCATCCCAGAATTGGTGCAAACAATTCCTCAAAGGGGAATTTTTTACGCATAATTCCTGCAAATTCCTCCAGATACCCCATCACAAATTCCTCCAAATACCCCACCATGAACTTCTCTAAATACCCCACAAATTCCTCTAAATTCCCTGCAAATTCTCACAAATTCCTCCAAACTCCTCTCAAATTTCCTACAAATGTCTCTTACAACATGAAAAATCTTGGAAATCAACCTACAAAAACTGAATTAGTTGAAAATACAGTCTCACGCATTTGAAAGTTTTCCTGGAATACTAGTGAAGGGAAAATTTGAAAACTTTTTGCATGTAAAGAGGAAGGTGAGAAGCTCATTTTTCCAAAATTTCAAATTTTTCCAGTAGAAAATTACAACATGAAATCTTTGACATGAGGATTGACGAATCTTGGAAATCAACCTACAATAACTGAATTAATTGAAAATATAGTGTCACACATTTCAAAGTTTTCCTGGAAAACTAGTGAAGGGAAAATTTTGAAATTTTTTACATGTAAAGAGGAAGGTAAGAAGCTCATATTTCTAAAGTTTCAAATTTTTCTAGTAAAAAATAACAACATAAGAAATATTGGAAATCAACCTACAAAAACTGAATTAGTTGAAAATATAGTCTCAAATATTTCAAAGCTTTCCTGGAAAACTAGTGAAAGGAAAATTTTGAAACTTTTTGCATGTAAAGAGGAAGGTGAGGTGAGAAGCTCATTTTCCCAGAATTTCAAATTTTTTCAATAGAAAATTACAACATGAGGAATCTTGGAAATCAACCTATTATAATAGGTGAATTAATTGAAAATACAGTCTCACATATTTCAAAATTTTCCTGGAAAACTAGAGAAGGGAAAATTTTGAAACTTCTTGTATGTAAAGAGGAAGGTGAAAAGCTCATTTTCCCATAATTTCAAATTTTTCCAGTAGAAAATTACAACATGAGGATTGAGGAATCTTGGAAATCAACCTACAATAACTGAATTAATTGAAAATACAGTATCACACATTTCAAAGTTTTCCTGGAAAACTAGTGAAGGGAAAATTTTGAAATTTTTTACATGTAAAGAGGAAGGTAAGAAGCTCATATTTCTAAAGTTTCAAATTTTTCTTGTTAAAAATAACAACACAAGAAATATTGGAAATCAACCTACAAAAACTGAATTACAGTAGACTCGCGCTAGTGTGAACACACGGTTCTGTGAACCTCCCAGTAGTATGAAAATCCAGAATGAATACATTATATATTCTGTAGTGTGAACTTTTGAGAATCTCGGTAGTATGAACAATGTTTTTGACCACAAATTCAACCATTTTCTGCTTACATTTTGTTTTCATCAGTTATTTCCGTCCAATTCTGGGGTTCCCCAAATGTTTTGAGACAAGGAATGCACAGATATATTAAGTTACTGCATTCACTCTTATGTGGAATACACATGTAATAAACAAGTGGCAACGCGTCAAAAGCACGTTTAAAAGTCTATAGTTTTTAGTTGTTTGTTTGCTGTGGTTAATCAGTTTTGTGAAAATGGTGAAAAACACAATTTTTTGAACTCTCCATGGGTCTGTTTTTACAAGATTCTCTGACAGTTTGCAGTTGTTCCAAGATCCTTCAGTAACTTAGTTGAGAATAAACTGGATTTTTGTGAGAACGGACCTTATGAGAAATCAAAAATCATAGCAGATTGCCAGCAAGGCAAGAGCATATCTTGGAGTTAATGACACAGAAAGCCTAAAAAACTTTGAAGACAAAGTAGGCAGCCATCTAGTGTTCAGCTAGAACCTCGGCTAGAACCATTCACACAAAAATTACATCTAACTTTAATCAATAAACTGGGAAAATTTACTTAATGGATATGTTTGCAAGTACCTATTGTATCAATTTTTCTTGAATTTCAAGTTTGGAGACCATTGTTGACTGAACTTTGCATTTCTAGGTAGACCTTCGATGGTGTGAACATCTCGATAATATGGACATGTCTGGTTTTCTTGTGTTCACACTAGCGCGAGTCTACTGTAGTTGAAAATACAGTCTCAAATATTTCAAAGTTTTCCTGGAAAACTAGTGAAAGAAAAATTTTGAAACTTTTTGCATGTAAAGAGGAAGGTGAGGTGAGAAGCTCATTTTCCCAGAATTTCAAATTTTTCCAATAGAAAATTACAACATGAGGAATCTTGGAAATCAACCTATTATAATAGGTGAATTAATTGAAAATACAGTCTCACATAATCCAAAGTTTTCCTGGAAAACTAGAGAAGGGAAAATTTTGAAACTTTTTGTATGTAAAGAGAAAGGTTTGAAGCTTATTTTCCCAAAATTTCAAATTTTTCCAGTAGAAAATTAGAACATGAGGAATCTTGGAAATCAACATACAATAACTGGATTAATTGAAAATAAAGTCTCACATATTTCAAAGTTTTCCTTGAAAACTAGTGAAGGGAAAATTTTGAAACTTTTTGTAAGAAAAGAGGGAGGTGAGAAGGTCATTTTCCCAAAATTTCAAATTTTTCCAGTAGAAAATTACATGAGGAATCTTGGAAATCGACCTCCAATAACTGAATTAATTGAAAATACAGTCTCACATATTTTAAAGTTTTCCTGGAAAACTAGAAAAGGGAAAATTTTGAAACCATTTGTATGTAAAGAGGAAGGTTTGAAGCTCATTTTCGCAAAATTTCAAATTTTTCCAGTAGAAAATTACATGAGGAATCTTGGAAATCAACATACAATAACTGGATTAATTATTGAAAATAAAGTCTCACATATTTCACAGTTTTCCTGGAAAACTAGTGAAGGGAAAGTTTTGAAACTTTTTGTAAGTAAGTAAGGAAGGTACGAAGCTCATTTTTCCAAAGTTTCAAATTTTTCCAGTGAAAAACAGTACCATGAAAAATTTTGGAAAACAGTCTACAAAAACTGTATTGATTATTCTTTTGAATTTTTTAAATTTGGACCTGTAAATCATGAAGTGTAATTTTGGGAGGATTTCTTTAATAAAAAATGTCCAACACAAAACTAGATTTTATTTAAAATTTCCATTTATTACTATTTCTTATAATAAGGATGTGAACCTCAGTGATGTCATGACCCTACAATTTCCTTCAAATTCCTTACAAATTCACCCAAATTCCACATAAAAATACTTTCAAATTCCCCACAAATTCCTCCAAATTTCCCACAAATTCCTTTAAATTCCCCACATTTTTGGCAAAGAATTCCTAGGTAGTTTGCCCCATGCCAATGAAGCAATGTTGGGTTTAAAAATATGTTTTTCTTGTATGTGTAGAAAACTGTAGTGTGTCTTCTCTCCTTTAATGTTGTCAGTTTTAGTCTTCTCAATCTCTCTGTGTATGGAAGGTTTTTTAGTTCTGGTGCTATTTTTGTAACTCCTTTTTGTATTCTCTCTAGAACTTCTCTAGAGAAAGCGTATTCAAGTTTTGGTTGTATGTAACTTTTGTAGAGTTTGCCTATCATTTCTATTGAGTCTTTTAATGCTTGTTTGATAAGGTATACAAAAGAATTGGCTTTTTTGGCAATTTTCAAAATAATGTGGTTCTGCCATTTCCCCAAAACTTATCAATACTAACCCAAAGTTACCAATACTAACTCAAACTAATCCGAACTCACCAATACTAACCTAAGGTAACTCAAACTTACCAATATTTAGCCAAATTAGTATTGGTTGTTTGGGTTGGTATTGGTAAGTTTGAGATAGGTACTTTGGGTTAATATAATGGTGAGTTTGGATTACTTTGAGTTAGTATTGAGTTTGCGTTAGTATTGGTAAGTTTTTTGGGTTAGAATTTCCAAATAACTCCATAAAAATCAGATTTTTAAACTGCACTCAATAGTTCAATAATCTATTAATTTAAACTGTCATTTCCAATCACTTATTAGTTTAAAAACTCCTTATTTCTATAATATCAGAATGACTGATTAATGAGTTAATTGCTGCGGAACTCGCACATCCACAAAGATTAGAATATGAACCTTTTGATCAGCTTCAAATCAATTTTAATTCTAGAATAGGTACTTCTGCAGTTCAAATTTTACCTCAGAGATGGAGTTTTCACGATTCTCAAGCTGAATTTCAGCTCTACGAGTCTAAAAATGAACTTTTTGGAACGCTTCGAATCAACTTTTACTCTAGAAGGTTCCAGAAATCGAAGTTTGAGAAAGTAAAAAATATGTACATCAGAATCCCTCCAAATTCTACTGGAATTTTACGGAATCCTACTGAAATTCCACGGAATCCTACTGCAATTCCACTAATAATGAATAAAATTTTGGACTAATGAGTAGAAAGTACCTACATTTCATAAGTAAATTGAGTAGTTCTAGTTATTTTATGAACCTATCTTTATTATTTAATAATTAACAATTCACACACTATTTTACTGTATAGGTATATCACAGTTAAAACCAAAAACAGCAAGTAAGTTGTTATCCCTGCCCAAATAACCGAGCAAATAACATTCTTTCGCTGTAGCGGTGAATGTCGCCGGCATTTCTGTATGAGCTGCACTGGTTTGGATAAAACGACAACAAAGATGCTCTGCCAGCAAAAGTATCACAATATTAGATTTTTCTGTAGTGTCTGTGATTCTCCAACGTTAAAATATCTTCACGATAAAGTGTCTCAGCTACAGAAAGGCCAAATCCCTCTGGAAAATGTAGAGGCTCTGAGTGCATGTCTTAAGAACAGTGAAAGACTTCATCCGGTCATTTCAGAAATCTACGACACCTTAAGCGCTCATGATTCCAGGTGGAGCGACTTATCCAAGAAAGTGGATGACATACACAACCACCATTCTGAGTACTCTGAGAGTGGACAACAATCTCTATTCCATTCAATTAGGGAAATGAAACGAGACTTGTGCAACATTTCGTCGGTTCAGGTACATGACTCTTCAAAAGAAGAGTTAACAAGGGAAATGGCAGATTTGAGGAAATGTGTCAACCAAATGGCGCTCACGTTGGAAAAGTTAGCAGGCAAAGAGAAACCGTCTACTAGGAGCAGCCCGCCACCTGTAAAAAAGTTAATTACAGCGTCGATTTCAACCCAGACCGATAGTGAAGAGACATCCCCTGTTACGCAAGTGGTCATTGATTCCCGAGTCTGTCCCCCACTTCAGAATTCCGCCCTAAAAGAAAACTGGCATTATGTGGTAGTGTCAAAAATCCCCCATCCTTTTACAGCAAAACAGCTTGCTCATTTTGTAAAGGAAAAACTTGGAACCACGGAGTTTATCAGATGCTTTCCAATGCTCCAAAATAAAGACTGCTCTCACACTGATTTCAAAGTTGGTGTTCAAAACAAAAATCACCTAAAGCAGCTTTTGGACAGATGCATGTGGTCTCCAGGTACGGGTATAGAGACTGCTAATTCATCTGCAACACTTTTAAAGGCATCGCCACCGTCGGCAGCAATTACAGTAGATCCACAGCATCAGTCTCATCACCATTTCAAACCCAACACTGCGGAGGGCCGAAGTAGACCACTTAACTCTGACTCAACCCCGATTAACCCGACTAAGGATGATAAAACTATCAGGATTGGTTCTGACAGGGAGGCTATAGCTGTTTCTAAGGCACTGGCACAAAAATTGTTATGGATACAAGTAGAAAAAAAGATGAATCAATCATAAACCCGATGACTCCACCCATTGTGCGATTATCGCGAGCTTCCGATACAGCTGATGGTCGATATTTATTGGCTAGTCTAAGAGACCCTGCCATTCTTAAAGCTCTTAGGCTATTCCTGGCTTATCTCCATGACCAACCATCCACCGTGTGTTTTGATGGGCACACTAACACCAGCATCAAATTAATGTTAGCTTCGGAGGGACTTCCTAGTGACTTGTACTCATTGCGGAAGTTATATTTCCGTTTCCACAACGCGTATGGCATTGGTCTGGCTGAAGTTGACGCTAATCTCGCCGCCTTCAGGTCTTACTTCTCGTCCGAGAAACTTCTCCGGTTACAGAATATTAGGGAAAGTCAGAGCAAATATTTCTCTAGTGGCTCTCCACGTAATAATAAAAAATTTTAGATAAGGTGACGCGACCAGAGGATCAAGCACCCTCTGTAAGGTTGGACGATGGCAAGCTTAGTCTATTTCTTATTAATATTCAGTCCTTAAGATACAAAACAGATGAATTATTTCTTTTATTAGAAGAGCTTAATTTTCCAGAAATCATCGCCATTACTGAACACTGGTTAAATATGGATGAACCTGTGTTTGTCAAAAATTACACCTCAATAGCTAGATTTAATCGAAGTAATTTATCTCACGGAGGCACTATGATAATGTCCACTAATAATGACTTTACGGCAATAACCAAGTTTGATAATTTATTATCGGAAAAAATATTTGAATTTTCCATCGTCTATCCTAGTGGCTTTGACCTTTATATTGTTTGTTTATATCGATCACCGGACACAGACGCGCACATGTTTTGTCGGAATTTGCTGAGCTTGCTTGACTCCTTGCCCTTGAATTGCAAAATAATTTTATGTGGTGACTATAATATAAATTTTTCCTGTGTGTGCGCTGCTCAAGAATCTCTCCAGTCCATTTTCGACTCCTTTGGGATTGTGATGCATGTAAACTCTCCAACCAGAATAACCAAAACTAGTTCTACTACCATTGACTATGTCGCTTCATCTTTTGATCCAGAATTGGTCAACTGTTCTATTTTTAGTGCAGGGTTTTCTGACCACGAAGCAGTATTAACGAATTTCTCATTGAATTCCTTACGTAAGGGTGCTTCCCGCAAATTGGGCAGAATATTTTCGGATGGAAATTTTTTAAATTTCAGTCAACTTTGCTTATCAGTTGACTGGGTCGTCCACTCAGATGATGTTGACTCTAGATTCATAAATACCCTATCTGACCTGGCGACTAAATCCTTTCCTCTCAGACCCATCAAAGTCAAACGGCATAAACCATGGTCCACTAGTGGCTTGCGTACTTCTGGAAAAAATATGCGATCCTTGTCTCATCTAAAAAAATTCTCGGATAGCGTCTTCTTCAATGATTACGTAAAATTATACCGAAAAGTCTATCAGAAAACCATAAAAGCCGCCAAAGACATTTATTATAATAGGAGGCTGGCAAACTCCAAAAATGTTGCAAAAGAAACCTGGTCAATTGTTAATGACTTGAGGAATAAGGCTTCTTCATCTAGCAAAATTCCTACTTCACCTGAGATCCTTAACGATTACTTTGTTGATGTGGTTAAGAATTTAGTGAATACCTTAACTCCTTCCCAGGACCCACTTTCATATCTCCCGAATGCTAAGGTGAACTTACACAGTTATCAAGTCTAGTATATTAACTCTTCCATCTTTATTTATTTTCGAATCCGTCTGCTTAATTCGTAAGCACTTAATATCAGCTATCTCAGAGAGGCCATCTCACAATTATCCACTGAGGAACGCAGAGTTGGATCTTTATCTGCCAATCCCGCGCTCAGAGTTAGTTAAAAGTTCAATATTTTATATTGCTAAAAGGATGCATAATCATCTACCGCCTAACATCAGGTCCATTGCTTCTTTTCTCGAATTTCGCAGGGCATTGAAGGTGTATTTACTGAGGAGAGCCTTGTACACAGTAAGCGAGTTGTTTGTGGTTTCCTAATTCTAAATTTTGAGCAGCTTACTCACAGGTTTTGTTTTTGTTCCTGTATCATGATAGGTTATTATAAGTTATTGTTTGTTTGTTTTTTTAGTACCTATAATATGCTTACTCGCACAGTATAAGCAGTTAGTCCTAGATGTTTGTTTATTAGTTTTAATCAAATTTTGACCATGAACTATTTGTTCAAGTGTTTGGTTTTGTCTGTGCTTTTGCATTTGTATGTTTTGTTTTTTATTTTTTCAGCTTTGTCCACAAAATTCTAAAATTTTCTGACAATAAAGCAAATTCTTTCTTTCTTTCTTTCCAACTCAAGATGGATTTTATTCATAAGATCCAATATTACCTACTCATGTTATCACCACTACACTTTAATACATTTTAAAAGACGTATGTAAATTACTAAAAAAACAGAAATCCCCCTGGCCCAGGATCAATTTCACCAGAATTAATAAAAAATAATACCAAAAAACAATTTTCTGATCTTCAAATACTCCTTAAAAATTGTATCAATGGTAAAAGGTTATCATGTATAAGAAAGGGAGTAGAGAAAACTGCAATAATTACCGTGGACTTGCTGTACAATATCCAGAATTTATTACTATAACATAGAAGAGCAGGCATGCTTCAGAATAGGGAGATCAAAATTGTATGCCCAAATTATATATCTACTTATTAAAATTTTAGTGAAACAGTCTATTTTTTTTTATAAAACTTGTTTTTAAATTGAGAAGTCAACCTCTAATATTATTGTTTTTTTTTCAGTTTTCTATGCTTCACGTCGTCCCGCCAATGTCCACCACAGAAGCAATTAGTTCAAACAAAGATTTAACCAACGCAGCTGGTTTTGTAGAAGTCGACAAGTCAACTATGCAGCACGTCAGATTTCCGAATATTTTCGCCATCGGCGATTGTAGTTCTTCGCCGAATTCAAAAACTGCAGCTGCGGCCGGTAAAGATCCCTACTGAAATATTTACAGATTTCTTATATTGATTTTTAGCTGCCCAGACAAATGTGGTTTTCGAAAATCTTAAGGCAGTAATGAAAAACCAAAAGTTACCGTTGACTTACGATGGTTACGCGTCTTGTCCGCTGGTTACTGGCTACGACAAATGCATTTTAGCCGAATTCGATTATGAATTAAATCCCTTAGAAACGTTTCCGTTTAGACAAGATGTAGAGAGGACTTCGATGTTTTTGTTGAAAAAAGATGTTATACCTGTAATTTATTGGAATTTGATGATGAAAGGATTATGGAATGGACCCGCACTTTTCCGAAAAATAATGCATCTTGGCCTACATAAGTAAATTAATTGTTTGACAGTATTTTGTTATTTGTATTAAAAGCTTTATAATGATTTGTAAATGAATGAGGCTGTGAGGAAATGACAGTTATATTATTTTAATGAATTTTATTTATGTATACTCTAAACCATATATTATGTATTTTATCAAAATAAATATATTTTTTAAAATTTTCACTCTATTTTCCTTTCTCTTCAATCCAAATTTAAAAATGTGTGGAAATGACCATTAGAAAAATTGAGAAGAAAGCGAAAATTCAATATCCGGGAATGGACAAAATATGAGATGGAAAAACTGAAAAATAAAGAATAAATAAATATATACTTAGATAATAATAATATTAATAATAATATCTGAGTAAACATCAAAACATTTGCAAAAATATGGCGGCAGGGGCGTACGTGGCCAACTTCTATAGTATTCATATTCAAAATTTGCAAGAATATGGCGGCGGTACCGAATTTCTATTTGAAAAGGTTAAGTCACTGTAGGTGGGCCGGGGCCATTGGAAAGCGTTGAAAAAAAAAACAACCAATCAAATACCTTGATGATACACAAACCCCAGAAAGGGGGCGGGGCTTAGCTAACCAATTAAATGCCCTGCTCATATCACTCGCATCTGATTGGAAAGGGGCGGGGCTTATATCCAACCTATTAAAAGCTTTGTTGATATCCTTTGCGTTTGATAACCAGTCAGCCACAGTGTTGCCAGCTTGACGGAATTATCCTCGTTTTGAGGAAATTTTTCTATTTTTGTTCGCAAAGGGTAGAAGCGGAATTTTTATTTTTAAAGTCTGTTTTTTTTAAAGACTATTTCACTAGAGTGTTTTGCATTGGCAAAATGTCATAGGAACGGCCGTGGCCTTGTCAAAAATATCATTCGCGAAATTGCCAAGCAACAAACTTTCATACGGGCGCGTTCTTTTTTCCATCAGACATTCACCAGGTGAAAACATGATGCCATGATACCACCAAAGCGTTTTTTTATTGATGGTGAAAATATGATGGCCCACCACACCGCGTTGTTATTTTACTGGTGGATTTATGGTGAATTTCATCTGATGGAAACCTGATACAATCAGGCTCCAACAGAAATTTTCTGTGATTACTCTGGTGGTTTTGCGTTGGTAGACCACATAACCTTAAAAAATTAACTACTGTTTGCTTATTGTGTGGCCCTGCGTAGTCTTTTATTTGTTTCTTAGCTCATTTGTTAGAAGCTATAAGATGAGAAATGAAGAACCAGGAAGCTGATGACGTAACTTATCTACAATGATTTGTCATATTCAGTGAAAAAACTGGCTGCAAAAGAAATTGAGATCCTCTGAGGAGTCTTTTATTCTATTTCGCTTTGTAATTAATGTTCTTGGCCCAATGGCAGCTTTGCTCGCATTGTCCATTTCAATTTTTCTGAATTAGAAGCACAGATAATATAAGATTTATATGGATATTTTCAATTTTGCTCCACCAAAGCGTTCTTTACCTAGCAATGCCTTAGTTTTTTTGATTTTCTCAAAAACTAGAGGAGCACCTAATTTTTAATTAGAGGCCCTAATTAGCACCTAAAAAGCACCTAATTCTGATACGAAAGGAAATTTTGGAAAAATATTTTTTACTATAGGGGACTACTAGCTTTCATAAACCTAACAATCCCTTAGTTTTTTTTGATTTTCTCAAAAACTAGAGGAGCACCTAATTTTTAATTAGAGGCCCTAATTAGCACCTAAAAAGCACCTAATTCTGATACGAAAGGAAATTTTGGAAAAATATTTTTTACTATAGGGGACTACTAGCTTTCATAAACCTAACAATCCCTTAATTTTTTTTGATTTTCTCAAAAACTAGAGGAGCACCTAATTTTTAATTAGAGGCCCTAATTAGCACGTAAAAAGCACCTAATTCTGATACGAAAGAAAATTTTGGAAAAATATTTTTTACTATAGGGGACTACTAGCTTTCATAAACCTAACAATCCCTTACTTTTTTTTGATTTTCTCAAAAACTAGAGGAGCACCTAATTTTTAATTAGAGGCCCTAATTAGCACCTAAAAAGCACCTAATTCTGATAGGAAAGAAAATTTTGGAAAAATATTTTTTACTATAGGGGACTACTAGCTTTCATAAACCTAACAATCCCTTGGTTTTTTTTTATTTTCTCAAAAACTAGAGGAGCACCTAATTTTTAATTAGAGGCCCTATTAGCACCTAATTCTGATACGAAAGAAAATTTTGGAAAAATATTTTTTACTATAGGGGACTACTAGCTTTCATAAACCTAACAATCCCTTGGTTTCTTTTGATTTTCTCAAAAACTAGAGGAGCACCTAATTTTTAATTAGAGGCCCTATTAGCACCTAATTCTGATACGAAAGAAAATTTTGGAAAAATATTTTTTACTATAGGGGACTACTAGCTTTCATAAACCTAACAATCCCTTGGTTTCTTTTGATTTTCTCAAAAACTAGAGGAGCACCTAATTTTTAATTAGAGGCCCTAATTAGCACGTAAAAAGCACCTAATTCTGATACGAAAGAAAATTTTGGAAAAATATTTTTTACTATAGGGGACTACTAGCTTTCATAAACCTAACAATCCCTTAGTTTTTTTTGATTTTCTCAAAAACTAGAGGAGCACCTAATTTTTAATTAGAGGCCCTAATTAGCACGTAAAAAGCACCTAATTCTGATACGAAAGAAAATTTTGGAAAAATATTTTTTACTATAGGGGACTACTAGCTTTCATAAACCTAACAATCCCTTGGTTTTTTTTGATTTTCTCAAAAACTAGAGGAGCACCTAATTTTTAATTAGAGGCCCTATTAGCACCTAATTCTGATACGAAAGAAAATTTTGGAAAAATATTTTTTACTATAGGGGACTACTAGCTTTCATAAACCTAACAATCCCTTGGTTTCTTTTGATTTTCTCAAAAACTAGAGGAGCACCTAATTTTTAATTAGAGGCCCTATTAGCACCTAATTCTGATACGAAAGAAAATTTTGGAAAAATATTTTTTACTATAGGGGACTACTAGCTTTCATAAACCTAACAATCCCTTGGTTTCTTTTGATTTTCTCAAAAACTAGAGGAGCACCTAATTTTTAATTAGAGGCCCTAATTAGCACCTAAAAAGCACCTAATTCTGATACGAAAGAAAATTTTGGAAAAATATTTTTTACTATAGGGGACTACTAGCTTTCATAAACCTAACAATCCCTTAGTTTTTTTTGATTTTCTCAAAAACTAGAGGAGCACCTAATTTTTAATTAGAGGCCCTAATTAGCACGTAAAAAGCACCTAATTCTGATACGAAAGAAAATTTTGGAAAAATATTTTTTACTATAGGGGACTACTAGCTTTCATAAACCTAACAATCCCTTAGTTTTTTTTGATTTTCTCAAAAACTAGAGGAGCACCTAATTTTTAATTAGAGGCCCTAATTAGCACGTAAAAAGCACCTAATTCTGATAGGAAAGAAAATTTTGGAAAAATATTTTTTACTATAGGGGACTACTAGCTTTCATAAACCTAACAATCCCTTAGTTTTTTTTGATTTTCTCAAAAACTAGAGGAGCACCTAATTTTTAATTAGAGGCCCTATTAGCACCTAATTCTGATACGAAAGAAAATTTTGGAAAAATATTTTTTACTATAGGGGACTACTAGCTTTCATAAACCTAACAATCCCTTAGTTTTTTTTGATTTTCTCAAAAACTAGAGGAGCACCTAATTTTTAATTAGAGGCCCTAATTAGCACGTAAAAAGCACCTAATTCTGATACGAAAGAAAATTTTGGAAAAATATTTTTTACTATAGGGGACTACTAGCTTTCATAAACCTAACAATCCCTTAGTTTTTTTTGATTTTCTCAAAAACTAGAGGAGCACCTAATTTTTAATTAGAGGCCCTAATTAGCACCTAAAAAGCACCTAATTCTGATACGAAAGAAAATTTTGGAAAAATATTTTTTACTATAGGGGACTACTAGCTTTCATAAACCTAACAATCCCTTGGTTTTTTTTGATTTTCTCAAAAACTAGAGGAGCACCTAATTTTTAATTAGAGGCCCTAATTAGCACGTAAAAAGCACCTAATTCTGATACGAAAGAAAATTTTGGAAAAATATTTTTTACTATAGGGGACTACTAGCTTTCATAAACCTAACAATCCCTTAGTTTTTTTTGATTTTCTCAAAAACTAGAGGAGCACCTAATTTTTAATTAGAGGCCCTAATTAGCACCTAAAAAGCACCTAATTCTGATACGAAAGAAAATTTTGGAAAAATATTTTTTACTATAGGGGACTACTAGCTTTCATAAACCTAACAATCCCTTGGTTTTTTTTGATTTTCTCAAAAACTAGAGGAGCACTTAATTTTTAATTAGAGGCCCTAATTAGCACCTAAAAAGCACCTAATTCTGATACAAAAGGAAATTTTGGAAAAATATTTTTTACTATAGGGAACTACTAGCTTTCATAAACCTAACAATCCCTTAGTTTTTTTTGATTTTCTCAAAAACTAGAGGAGCACCTAATTTTTAATTAGAGGCCCTAATTAGCACCTAAAAAGCACCTAATTCTGATACGAAAGAAAATTTTGGAAAAATATTTTTTACTATAGGGGACTACTAGCTTTCATAAACCTAACAATCCCTTAGTTTTTTTTGATTTTCTCAAAAACTAGAGGAGCACCTAATTTTTAATTAGAGGCCCTAATTAGCACCTAAAAAGCACCTAATTCTGATACGAAAGAAAATTTTGGAAAAATATTTTTTACTATAGGGGACTACTAGCTTTCATAAACCTAACAATCCCTTGGTTTTTTTTGATTTTCTCAAAAACTAGAGGAGCACCTAATTTTTAATTAGAGGCCCTAATTAGCACGTAAAAAGCACCTAATTCTGATACGAAAGAAAATTTTGGAAAAATATTTTTTACTATAGGGGACTACTAGCTTTCATAAACCTAACAATCCCTTGGTTTTTTTTGATTTTCTCAAAAACT